AGACTGACATAGGAGTAAAGACATGGTTTCAGATAGAATCAGTGACCCAGACAACCTGTTTAACTGGCCATTTTTGGAGCCAATTCTGAAYTGCTATTAAAAAAACCTTACCAAAGACCATATGAAATGGATTTGGTTTTTATCATATTTCTTTTTACCTTGCTCATTTCCATCTTATGAGCTGAATACCTGTCCTTCTGAGAGTAAAACTTCTATGAACTTTAGACTACATAGGAGGCCCTCCAAAGCCCTTCCACAGTAAAAAGTGTAAGTGTGGGGGTGTGTGGGTGTGTGTGTGCRCGTGTGTATGTGCGTGTGAGAGGCGCTCTTCTCTCTGTCTTATGTAGTCTAAGGCTGTTTGAATTTCTGAGAAATCCCCTCCCTGGGCTTGAGCCCCGCGGCCTCGCTTGCAGAGGCGGGCACGGCAGGGGCAAGTGCAGCGCCCCTGATGGCTGCAGCTCGCAGCTGGCGCTCCCTGCTCTGCAGAAGTGCAGCGTCTGGCCTAGGGGGAACCCTCGAAAAGAAGCAGGTGGCAATTTCAGGAAAATCAGCGCAGGCAACTCTGAGTCAGATCCGGTCTGTTATAACTGCAGTACTGCTATTTACACATCAGGGTTTTTGTTTGCTCACTAGCTTGTCCCTTAGTATTGCTGCTTCTGTGGGATCTTCCAGAAGCATTAAAGGCGGAAAGCACACCAGGAGCCCAGGAGTGAGTCTAGGTAATGCAGAGGACAAGCACGCCTTGGTCTGCTCATGAAAATGAGCACTGTTCTGTGTGCAGGCTGAGCGTGTGCAGCTCCTGCTGGTCGCTGCTGCCCACTTAGGCCCTGGGCGTGCAGCAGGGCTGCCCACCGGAGCAAGGCGGTAAGTGCTCGGTGGGAGGTTGGTCTCAGTTAATTCCCAGTGCTGCATTAGACCCGCGTTGCTCCTGCACCTGTGTCAAATTAGTAGTGATTAAAAAGCAATTAGCAAGTAGAATGTTTTACTTTAGACCTCTTGCAAGTCCATGTTTTAGCTAATGAATAGCTCTATCAAAGTTRCAGGAGAACAGTGAGAGTGAGCAGTGTGTCTGAGGGCTAGCCTTCAATATCAAAATCAGTCTCTGCTTTATTCTGTAAAAGCTTTGATCAACCTGAAACAAACAGTGATGAATGTGTCTAGATAATTGCGTAAAAAGTTGACTGCTTCTAAAGTTAATTTCATGTCCTTCTACATGCTTTTTTAAAATATTAATTCTAGTGGACTTCACATTATKCTAGGTACACAGTGTGGCAGTTTTAGGGCTCTTCTCTATTTCACACATTCTGCATTATCCAGTAAGAGAAAAGATGGGCTTTAATGGGGTTTGTGGGAGGTAGCATTTAATTTGTTTAGTGACCCAGCAGTAATTCTGTATTTGGCAAATGCGTGAAGGTTAAAATAACAAAGTACAGAGGTAGACTCTTAGTCTCTTCAGATATCATCTCAAGCCATTAAAATTGTTCTTAAAAATGAAAACAAATTGCTGCTATAAAATGGAAGCAATTCACAAAATTGTTTTCTTTAAGTCCAAGTTGCCTGTATTGTATGATGGATGCAGATTTTCCCAAGCCCTCATAAATGGACACAGAATGCTGAAATTCATCTTCCTCTGCAGTGTGACATTTCTTCATCAGTCATTTCATAATAATTATGCCAAAGGGTTAAACTAAAATGCAGAAGGAATCATCGTGATGGCACACGGTATTTCAAAGGGAGAACTTCCTTACTCCCCCTTCACATTCTACTTGTTCAATATTTCTTTCTGGATATGATATTTATTGCTGGATATGATATTCCTCTTTCTGGGTATGATATTTATTGCCCCTGCTTTAGCAGGAAGAGCAGCTCTGGTAGATTCTTACTAGATTAAACTTTGTTTTTATGGTAAGAAATTATGGTGAGATGTTTTCAAAAGCATTATGAATTTTGGTTACTCTGGTTCCTTGCATTCTTTTTTAGCATTTCACAGTAGTTTGGGAATAATGCTGAGCTTCCTAAAGCAAGATGCATAGGAGATGCTGTAATGATGCCCAAGCTACAGTGATGTTAAATCAAAGTGCAGTCCCAAGGCGGCCTTTACCCTTGCATTGCTACAGCAATGTGCCAGATAACTGTGGCACATTGTGCCATGTGCCTAAAACAAAAACTAAACTCCCTTACTCCTTGGCTTTCTAACTCCATTGCTCTGTGACTCTGGCATCCTGTTTGTGTGAAAAACTGATCAAAACGTTTTTTTTCTCTCCTCTGCATTAGAGGGACATCAGCATGCCTCGCTGCAGAGAAACTGTTTTCATTACACTTTATGCAGCACTGGCRGTGCTAATCTTGATAGCGACTCATTTTCATTCTCGTTACCACGAGGCAGAGAGGGTCACATAAAGCCAGAAGCTGGCAACGTTTGCAGGGCACCGCTGCAGATACAGTGGGSAGGCTGGATGGGCGCTGCGCTGCTGCTCATGTGTCTGCCGAGCAACCGAGCCAGGAACAGTGGAGCCAAAGCTGCTGTAGTCGTTACCTCGCTGCGACTGGTGCGCAAGGCCTCACCTACTGGGCTGTTCCAGTTAATGTCTTATGCTGAGGGTTTACTCTAGAGATCTCCAGTCTTAGAAAGGGCACTGCAGGTTTCACATCATGTAAGAAAATGTGTTATGTTTCTACTTATAAACTTAGTTCAGGTAGCAAATGAGATTTGTCTTTTAAGCTACTTGGCCTCTCTGGCACTAAGTAGCAGGAGGTTTCATGTTCCTGCTAGCTCTTGCAGTTTTCGTTTGTGCTGACAACATGCTGTTGGATCCCGTTCAGTCTGGCATCCATCACAACCGCCAGCCTCTCTCAGCAGAGCTGCTACTGGGCCAGTCAGCTCCTACTCTCTACTGACACATGAGCTGTTCCTCCCCACGTGTGCTGATGTTTTCGAGGGCAAGGTCACAGAAAATCTGCACGCAGCTTACGCTGATGGTGCTACCAGTCTCCTCCATTATCCATTCCAGTGGCTGTTGCAAAGCACCTTTCCCTTGTCTCTTTGGAGAGGAGGCTGGGACCCTTGAACACAGATCTARTTTTTGCTGTTGATTTGTTTTTGGTTTTGTTGGCTGGTTTTTGTTTGTATGCTTTTGCCAGAACTCATCTTGCAATAAGGAACCAATATATCTTGAACCAGGTACCAAAATGTGACCCAAAAGCTGGGCATCACCTTGTGATTAGCACTTGTAAGCCTTAGCACTGAAAAGATTAAATCCTGTAATCACTATGGGTTTCATCTACCAGAAGTCACAATTAGCTGGCAAGAAATGAGCCTTTGTAACTTTTGTGTTAAAACAATTTGGGGCTGTAAAGCACCTCCTCTTCTAAAACAAATGAGTACTTCCTCTTCTAAAACAAATGATTGAAACTTCACTTACTGACTTGAAAATATTTAGCTCTAACCTGATGCTACTCTTGCTGACGTTCACTGACCAAAGACTCACACAAACTGTAGTATGATTTTTCTAATGGCTGCAAGAAACAAGCTTCTGTGTGACACGCGTCTTTTAATTTATTTCTTGGTCTCTTTTGCATGGTTTGTTACTACATAGCAATTCTAAATCAGGGCCAGYTAGAGCTTCACATGGGAAAAGTTATTACCCAGTTTTATTTTTACTCTGATTGTCTAAACTGTTGAGCTCCAACTGTGAACTTGCTGTGGCCYTCTCTGTAACCACAGAGAGAGAGCCCTATTTCAGTTGGCTTGCTGGAGACCTTTCTTACCTTGAACTGTCAATGGCAGGTGTTGATAACAGCCCAGATAAAAATGCAGGTACACTTCCTTATCTCCTTGCCTGGTGCGGCATACCTGAATTTCTATGCAGATGACTGCATAGAAGCTGCTTTATCCAACTGCTATATTCTCTGTTTCCATATTCTGTCAGTAATTATTTCAGTGTAGGATTATGACACATTTGTCTCCTTAGCATTTTAAGGAGGCACTCAGTGGGGATGTTTTTAGTCATTAATAATCTCAATAGTATTGTTGAAAGGCTTAAAAATAAGTTTTTGTTAATTTGACTATCCTACTGATTTCTTAAGACTAAATCTTGATTTCAATTTATGTGGAAGATGTTAAGAATCCAAACCAGRAAATACTGTTCAGGAAACTTTGTGGAAGAAAACATTTGGTTTCTTATCCTGCCTTATTCAGCCATGGAAGTAGGTGTGGTGCCTCTGCGCTGGCCTAGCGCTGCTGCGCTGCAGCTCGGCCCAGCCCCTGCTCTGAGTCTGTTACATCTGCACAAATGAACGGGCAGGAAGAGGCAGCGCAGAGAGGGATTAGCTGCTGTAGCACCTTCCCAGCTGCTCACGAGCCAGAGAAGTTGTCTGGGTGCGGAGAAGTGAAGCCRGTCACTGTCAGAAAGAGCTGAGTGCCATGGTGCTGGGAGTCTCCTGCTGGCATTTCACTTTGGAGCTGGTTTTTGGGGTGATGTAGTTGCTTTCTGGGGTGATGTAGCTCTCACGAAAGAAGGAGGGTACTGTCTGCCTCTTGTTTTGTCTGTAATATTATTATTGTTTTCTGTAATATTCTCACCCATCTGCACATCCGTTATATGCTGCAGTATAAATTGTCTCATAACATACAGCTAAAATGAATTAGTCTCTTTTTTAATTCAGTAATCACCGAGAGCCCCCTTTCTGCCTCAGTCTTGCTTTGATACTCATTTGGTGAATTAGACTATAATCCAGGTTGCATATTAACAGTCCTTAACCTCATAAAAACAGTACTTTATGCCTTTTACTTCATTTGCATTTCATATGCTGTGTGATGACTTGCTATAACAATTTATGCTGATGAGAATTACCCATAATGAAAAGTATGTCTGTGTAAGTGTTGCATCACGGCTGGAGAGCTTTGGGCAATTGAGGGAAAGCACTACCCAAGATAAGCATTTATCACTACCTACTGCTAAATAAATAATCTAGTATTTTCTCCTATTATCCTTTTAAAGGGTGAACCAGGTTTCATTGGTCCACAAGGAGAGCCTGGGTTACCAGGCCTGCCAGGAACGAAGGTAAGGTTTTTTAGCTGACGCTTGATTATGCAGTCCTAGAGGCAAAGTCAAATTCAGCTTGCTTGGTATATAGCAAAGATCGTGGCTGTGCTAATGATATAAGAATTTCCCAGATTCCATTTTTGTAAATGCCCTGGAAAGTTTAGAGTTCAGGGTAAAATCTAGTGCTTGAAAAAGTGAAAAGTCATAGTTCATGGACTAGCAAACATTTTCCTTTCTAGTGATGCCATCAAAAAACGTGAGCACAGATGCTGTATCCATTTGTGACTTGTTTAGGTTCATTGGTTGCTTCTGTTTAATGTCAGGCATCCCAGAAGTGAGACATGAGGTAGCCGTGGCTGTCTGACAGAGCTCTATTTCCATAATCTTGTTAAAAAAGGTCAGGAGAGTGTATGCAGATATTAGAACACTGATGCCACACACTTAAGAAATGTATTTTTTCTTCTGGGGAATTGGTTTCTTTCGCCACATTGAGTTGCTTGTGTACCGAAGACAGTGCAGTATTAGGATATATTTTGTCTGCTGCAACAGGGTGACAAAGGGGACACAGGCCCCTCTGGGAAGGGTGAACGAGGTGACCCTGGAGTTCCCGGATCAAAGGTCAGTCTGATTTTTACGCTGGAAATGTTTTGTTAGTTTTAAAATTGTGAACACATATGTTTTTTTGCTGGAAAACAAACAGAAACCTGCTGAGTGAGCTTTTTTAAATGGTGATATAGTCAATTATTACAATTTAGTCCAGAAGACAATGGCAGTTTTGTGTTCACAGCTGTAGAATTACAATCTAAATGACCTCTATTGTTGGTCAAGAAAGTAAAGACACTACTTAGGCATACTGTCATGGAACTGACCTAATTTGTAGCACTCCAGCTTCCAGCATCAACGTCTAAAYTCCTTGACCATTGTAACTCTCGAGGGGAATGCAGAGGAGATGCATTTGGCACGCTGTTTTCTAATTCTGTAAAAGACAGAGATCATTCTAACCACATTTCAGTGTGTTCTTAATGTTTTGCACTATGTAGTTACTCTCAGGCTTTCCTAAGAAAACCTGAGAACCCTAAGGATTCTTACGCTAAGGTAAGAAGCCAGTTAGCTTCTTTTTCATCAGAGCTTGTGGGAAAAAACACTGTAACACTTTAATTTCCTTATCTTAGGATATTTAACTATCTTATCTGTACTTATTTATAGTATTTCAGGAGCTATGGAATTAATGTGGTTCATTCCTGCAAACCAGTGTTCATAGTATCTACTGACTAATTCCAGTGCTGCTTAGACTTTTGACAGATGGAATCTGTGGCCTTTGCATGCCGATATGCAGGGATCTGTTACTTTGGAGACTATTAAATTCAGGGTTCTTTCTAATTCATAATCTTGATCATGTGAAATGAAGTGTTTCTGCTGATCCATACTGTACCATTATTAATTTCTTTCTCTTTGCACTCTCATTGCTCTATCATCTTCCTCTTGTCCATCTTCCTTCAAACAGGGAAGAACTGGTGAACCTGGATCGAGAGGCCCCAAAGGGTCAAAGGTCAGTAGTAATAACTCTGTTTTTACTGCAATAACTGAGCAATATCTGTGATAATTTGTAACATCTTACACTTCACTTGTCTTACAAATACACTGCAACAGATTTACAAACTACAGATGCAGTTTTCCGTATAAACAAAACATTCTGGCTTTCAGTTTTAGATTTAGAATCAAATCCTGTGTATTTTAAACACTGTGACTAATTCTTCTGATCGTTTTAATGGCTATTCCTTCCTATTTGCTCTGTGTGTTTTCACATTCCACTTGGTTTGTCAATGGACAATTTGTGCAAGTTAACCTAAGTGCCACAACCAACTCTTGACTGTGCCTGCAGAGCATAAATAAAAGGGTTTTTTKTTGTTGTTGTTTGKTTGGTTGGTTTGGTTTGGTTTCCAATAATTTTGTGGATCAGCTCTTTGATCTGTTAGGAAGCAGCAGTGTTCCAGGACTGTGGGTTCAGAAATGCCAGCCAGTGAGTCCTACAGCGACAAGGCTTGGCAGATGCGTTRCATTCTGGCTGCTCATAAGACTACTTTGATCCTGTCTGTTAAGTGCTCCATAACCCCATTCCCAGGGAGCTGATGAGTGAATTAACGCAGCAGAGAGAGCAAACGAGTAAAGGAGTCTCTCAGTAGCCTTCAATACCTGGGCACCTCCCAAACACACCCAAAAAATTCCCTTTGTATCACAAAAGGCAAACAGTTTTTCAGGAGGTCTGCCTGCATAACTACCTTGAAAATCTGGCCTAYGGGAGTTAGCCTAGTAGTGAGGAACTCTATTTTTGAGCAGCTGCAATGCCATGTATGCCTGCTCTGCCACRGCAGCACTGAAAAGAAAGATGGAGATGGCACCACTTTGATTATGTCCTGCCATCAATCTCCTCTCCATATTCCTTCTTTGCATCCATGAAAACTTTCTACTATTTTGTGTTTTTTTTCTATTAACCAGAAGATGAATTAGTCATTCACCTCCAGGATATATCAAATATTCAGAGATATAAACAGGAGATATAAACTCTTAACTAAATTGTTTTTAAGTAAAATAAAAATATATGAGTTTCCTATGAAAGTGACTCAGAAGTGAAATGAATCATAGTCACTGAATGGTGGGATATGAATACAGATATATTTGAAATACTCCCCACTGCAGGAAACATACTGCTAACAGCCAGAAGGAGAAAGCTGAGAACAAGATGGTAAAGATCTTAAGCCTACTGCAGTAAAGGAGTAAAAGAATTCTCTAATGCTGGAAGTGTTTGTAGACTCAGAACAATGAGGTTTAGAAACATATGGGAGTCATGATAAAGTTTATGCATTTARAAACATATCTTTGAAAAAGTTGTTGAGTGATTTCAGACTTAAGGCTTTTGACTGATTTGCCTTCTCTAGCCTTTCCTTGAGGCTTTTGATAATGGTGGCATCAGGAATAATGAAATTATGTAAATTACTTAATTTGTAGCCTTTTTTATTGAAATTCTTTGATATTTCTTATTCCAGACCAATACAGCACTAACTATTCACAGAGAACCAAACATATGATTGTAAACACTGCCTGCACATTTTTAAGGAATTTCTGTTATCATTAAGAACTACATTATGTTAATGAAGTCATGAGAGGCTTTTTATAAGACAAGCATTTTAAAATGAAAGAACTACTCTCATAGCTAATATACTCTCAGATTACTTATCTGTCTTCAAATATCCTTTTTATATAGGGTGATACAGGTGGCAAAGGTGACGTAGGATCTGTAGGTCCACGGGTGAGTCTAATTCTCCTTTCAGCTCTTTATTTTGCACTTTTACATTCAGTCCACACTACAGAGGGAAACTGTAGCAGCAACTCCAGCTTACATGGTGAACTCAGTCACTTAACTCCAGCAGAACATGCGTTGCTAGCTGGCACTGACTGTCAATAGCAGTCCCTGCTATTATTTGAACTGGTCTCCTGCTCACAGTTCATAGGCAAGTATTACTTGCCAGATGTTCTGACATTGCTCACAGCCAACATGAAACTGGAGTATTGGAACTGCTTAAATCTTTAATCACAGCCGTTTCATACATTTGTGTTGCCTGCTGCAGTCCAATGCACTGTACTGCAACTTGCTTGTTTATACCTATCTTTAAAATGGATTTTTTGCCATAAAGCAATCTTGAGCTTCATGCTGTTTTGCAGTTTGTAGTAATATATTGTAAATGCAACAAAAATTCCAAAGCAACACAATCAATTCAAAGCATATGTGAGTAGTTAAGTGTCAGAAAGCAGCCCTTTCATTGCTAAGTCATGGCGAGCATAGAGAAAATATCATTGCAGTAACGTAACTATGTTCAGGGAGGCTTTTTTAACTAGCAATCTGAGCTGCAGTAGGATTTGGATCAATACGTTTTTCAATTCATGGWATGGAATTTCACTCCTTTTGAAAAACAGTTCCTACTAATGATAAAAAGACAGTGAAACAAATAAAGGCCACGGATTAACCAAGCCATCAGTTTCCCATCCATTGAGAACAACCAATGTGAATGTGAGCTATTCATGTGCTTCTGGTTCTCAGCAGTGTAGAGAGAGCACAAATCAAAACTTGAACTCACATCTGAGAATACAGAAGTTCAGAAAGTTCCTTCAAGCCCATATAAAGTACATTGGGCAGGACAGAACAATCGTTTAGGGTAATTCTTGGTTGCAGTCTTAAAAAATYATGGGTGAATTTATTACAGGGGCCACCTGGACAAAAGGGTGAGCAAGGTGCAACGGAGATAATTGATTACAATGGCAATATCCACGAAGCTCTGCAGGTATGTAAAGATAAACAGCCTGGATTGGCTTTGTCTGGTCTGGGGAAATGCAGTTTCACGTCACTGTATTTTTCTTCTGCATAAGCCATGAAAGCACTGCGCACAAAGGTTTGCTGAGCTTATTAATGAGAAATTTCTTCCTATTTTTGGAAACCAGGTTTGCTGCTTGGTGTTAGACAAACTGTTTCTGTGATAAAATTTAGCTGAGTGAATTGGTTTCATTTCCCCTGGAGCGTATTGACGTCATCTAATGAGGACAGAGCTGAATCACTGCTGGCCCTGGTGCTCACTGCTCAATTTGTGTAATAAACCACATACACAGATTCAGCAGAAGTGTCTGCTTTTCAGTTCAGGTAGTACAATATTGACATTCCTTTTTCCCTCCTCCTTCTAAAAATGCAAAGAGGAGAATGTTTGTGATCAGGAAGCCAGACCACATGATTCCATTAGCAAGATGTGGATTCAATCAGCAGCCTGATTAGACAGACTGAGCACTAGTCTTTCCACTAGCTCACTTCCAGAAAACTAATTTTGACTTGTGTGCAGAAAAGTTTGGAGGGTTAAAGTGGGGTTACAAAAAGAATGAGTGGGTCTTCACATGAAAGCAAAGCTCCAAGGTCACACATGTCATTGCAGCCAGGGTGATTTACATTGCGGTAACCTCACATGCAAATTCTACACAGTACAACCCCACCACAGTGAATGGGTTTGCATAGGTGCAGCTGAAGACAGAACTTGGGCCAGTGTATATCTGATCATTTTCTCGCTCAACCTGCTGGATTTTTTTGCTTTTTTTTTTTTTTTTTTCTCTCCACTTTTCCAAGGTGGAAGTAGATAATGTCTGGCTAAGCATTTGTTTTTTCAAGACTCTCCTGAAATTAAACTTTTTCACTATCTTTACTAAAACCCTGAAGCCTGTATGTTGTTGTTAACCATAAGCCCACTCCTCCAATGTGATCCTGCATGGCATGTGTGGAAAAGCCTATACAGGCAGACTCTGAGGCTCTGTGTTTTATCCATCTTCACAAGTTTTAAGGGAATTCAAGCCTTTCAGCTTTTAAAATCTCTTGAGTTAGATGCCTGAAGTAGCCTGAAATAATGTTACATATTACCCAGTCCAGATTTATCAGTGCAGTTCTATGGGGCTTTTAGCCCCCATAACTCCTGTAGTCTTTCCTTCTACTTTGGCATCAACGTCACTCCCAAGTGCTGTGTAACAGCTTGTCAGAAAAGCTGCGGCATGTAGAGAAGYCTTAATAAGGGAGTAAAGCCTATTGCAGTGATTGAAGCAAATTAAGAGGCCCTTATCCCATTGTAAATCATTTCAAATGTCATCGCCTTCTGATCTAGGGCAACAAATAAGTGATATCGATGGGAATGGCTGTGCAAGGACGATATAAGTAAGATTATACAGGATCAGTCGACAGTGTGCTTGCCAACTCCAGCTCAGTCCTTCTGAATGGCAAGTACCCATTCCTAAGCCTTCTCGTGCCAAATTCTCAGAGGCTCTGGGATTTGCAGCTCTCCTAGAGAAGCCAATGAGAACTCCTAGTGCTTAGCACATCTCAGAAGTTGGATGGCTGATTTAAGAAGCTGACAGGAGTGCACAAGATGCGGGCTGTCTGTCTGCATTCTTACAGAATTTAGTAATAAATCATCAAGCAGTGACACTTTGAAACAATTCCGAAGCAGGAGCTTTGGAACAATTCACAGTCACTCTGCTTTGTCTCTCCTGCTTCATTTCATGTGTCAGTGGAGAATAAGACATCTTAGTCCATCAGCAGTGGAAATTGTGACCTTTGAATTGTCATCACAGTTTGAGCAAGACCCCTACTGAGTTTACGTGGCTTTCACAAAATATATCTCTATCTAAATCTCTCTTCAGGTCTGTTCTACAGAATTCCCTGAGGTAAAAGGCAGTAGCTACAGAAGTTTAAACTTTGTAAGAACTAGATATTAAAATCATAATATATTGCTGAAAATGAGTCCATGAGTGTGAACATGCAGAATTTAATTTGCGGTGGTTAATTTTGCTTTCTGTATCTAGATAAACTAACTTTTTCTCCTTTTTGGGGATTTTTTTTTAATATGCATCCATAAATATGCTAAAATGCAAGACATGAGAATATTAAAGCCATCTGTTGAAGTTTTCTTTTTTTTTAAGTACTTGGTCATTGAACTGATTCCAGCATATATTTTGCTGCACTGGCAAATGGACTCTTTTAGAGATAAAACCAGAAGATCTGAAAACTTTTTTTTAGAAGAAAAATTACGAAAACTAATTACTTCTTCCATATAGAGCATATAGAGTCAGCAGATTCTGCACAGTCASTAAAAAAGCAGTAAGATTTGAGGACTTTACTCTGTTTAAAAATATAGACAAGTATTTTAATTMTGTTTAAACACTTTTGCACTTGTGTATAATATCTTATTTAGCAAAAAAAATAAGGGCAGGTCTAGTTATTTTGCCTCTTTACACAACTGATCTTTTCTCTTTTCAAACATTTGAAGTAGAATGGCACTATAGCATATTTTGTGGGCCAGAAGTTTCAGATTGTTACAGATTGTTCAGAGTGTTACATCTCGCCTCTAGGAACTGTATTTTAATTGAATAATTGTGCAAAACCTGCAGACATCACAATATGTAGAGCAAGTTGTAGAGCACATATAGAGTATGTAGAACACACATATGATTTTGCTTACTTAGTCCTTTCTTATTTGATCTTCAAATTTTTATGAGAAGTAAATGTATGTTAAATGTGTTTAAAATGTATGGAAATTTTCATGTATGTAAAATCCTCATTCCACCCACAGAAGCCAGGCAGCTAGAAGGAGKATGTTAAGAATAATGGGGTTTACTTTATGTTTTGGAGACGTGATGTTTCACAGATATAGTATTGAGTCTTGTGTTGATGACAATTGTAACAAGCAGACTAGTTGATATCCCTGTTCAATTCTGGTAACGGTGTCTCCTGTCAATACATTTTGCCAACAGAGGATTACCACCCTAACCGTCACGGTAATTCCTATTGCATGACTGTGTTTTGTAGAAGTTGTCTTTTGTGTTGTAGCTTGTTCATAATCCTGCCAATTCAGGATGTACCTTCACTGAATGTTGACCCAATTCATCATCAATTTTATTTATTTGCTCACCTTTAACTGAGAATACATTGTTGAAAGCCATTCAACAACAGACCCACTTCTGCTCCTGCTGAATTAATGGCAAAACTTGAACTAAAGAGGAAATTTAAGGATCTCAGTATTGTTCTAGGCAAAAATTCAGGCAGATAGTTGGCCTGGGCTTTCTGCTTTGTGTTCCCATTTGTTTGCTTATTTGGGGGTACAGCATAAACAGGAAGCACAATTTCAATACTCAGATGTTTTCTCTTGACAGCCTTATTTTCAGGATGGAAATTTGGTTCTTTTAAATTGTCCTGGGAAGAAATTTCTTTCGGGAGTTGTCAGACCGGAGGCAAATTATTTCTAAGACAGGTCTACTTCAGCTCACTACAAATAAGTATGCCAAGTAGAAAGTAAAAGCATGGGGAGTTCTCCTGCTCCAATTATCAGATCTTAGAAATAAATTTGTATTTTCMAGCTTTCCTAGGAGCGAAGCTACATCAGTCACACATAATCTCTGAAAATAGTGGCACTAGCTAGGAGAAGTTTATAGTTTTGCACGTTCAGCTTTCCATCAAAGCTATGAACATATAATTAAATGGTTATTATTCTTTTTGTCTCAAGTTCTTCTCTGTAAAATTGCTGCTAGACCTATTTTCCCAATTCTGCAACTGCTTTCATTATATCAACAAAAGGAATTAAAAAAATGCCCCTCACTGTGCACCATCCAGACCAATATTTGATCCCTTTGTCCTCAGCCCTAGAAATGCATGCACTAGTTATAACTCCCTATAGTTATTCCATATAACCCTCTCCCAAAGCACTGAGCATCAATCAGTAGAAGCCTCTTTGCAGTCAGTAGTTCTTCCTTCCCTTGGGTTGCCTTGGATCAGGACATGAATGCCAGCCCAGGGCAGCTCAGGGGAGTTTTGCTCTCTGCCACTGAGATGAGCTTTGCCATTTCATCAATGGGAACAGCAGCACCTAATCATGAAATATGAACTTGAAATGTTATTTTAGCATGTCTTGTGGGTTTTGGTTTTGTTCTTTTTTGTGGTACCCTTTTGTTTGTTCAGAGTTGCCATAAATTAACTTGTTTATAACTGGTGTTAGTTCCTCTTGTGTTAAAAATCTAACCCATTTTGTTAAGATAGTTATATTAATAGTCAAACAGTGTTTCTGTGGCAAGTCCTGCAGGAATATACTTAAACACTGAAATATGTGTTTATGTGTTTCTGTTTAGGGTCCACCGGGACCACCAGGACCCCAAGGACTGCAAGGGCCAAAGGTGACCTTCCTCGTTTTACTCGCCGTGTTTTAAGAGTGGAGGTGCTTTCCAGCTCTTTCCCTGACACTTGCACACATGTAACAGAGCGCTCCTGTAAAGCGCGTTTACCTGTAATGTTAGAGAATGCAGTATGTTTCAAACTGCATTCAAACTTCCCAGAAATGCAGCTTCCTGGGAGAGAGGCTGCTTAGTTGCAAAACACATGCTCGGCTGAGAACCAGCAAAATGAACTGGTGCTGATAACAGGGGAGGGCATCTCCCCTGCTCCAGGATGAGTGTGTGGCTTTACACTGCAGCGGTGGTGCACACTCAAATACACAGTGTTTGGTAACGTCAGGAGAGGAGCATGGGCACGGGTGAGCAGGAGCCTGGCTGCAACCCCGGGTCTGCACATGCCACCCGTGTGGGGCTACTTGCCCCAGACACCCAGAGGTGCCAGCTAGTGCGCAGCCCGCACGGGTGTGACCGATACCATGTGCTGCACTAGTCCATAACATTTACCTCCTAAATTACMTGTGCTAACAAGAAATGTGTTAAAGTAGTGGGCCTTTCTTAAAGTGGATTCAAATAAGTTTAGTTAGTCTTATTTCTTAAGAAATACTATACTGTATTTTCAAATTTGTGTTGGGAAGGAAGAAATTGCAACAGTGATTCCAGGCTCTTTGAGGAGTAAATAGGTGTTTCTTGAATAACACTAGCATTTTAGCCTTCATCCATAGGATCATAAAGAAATACATTATACTTACAGGTGTTAACTGTTTTGAAAACTTGCAAGAAACTAGGTTCTTCCTTCTACATGAAAACTGAGACTGGAATGCAGAGTTAAGTGTACCCAAGTGCATTCCTGTATGAGGATCTGGGCAGCACAAAGCCTTTCTGCCCCTGCAGAATGGTATAAACCCAGGAGGAATCAGAGCTGGGGAGAGGTGGTTTCTTCCTTACATGTGAGGGTTCCCATTCAGAGGTAGTGGTGTCAGCCAGAATGCAGCCCAGCAGGAGCTTGTTTCCAGGATCACGGTCTACACCCATCAATGTTTTCTGCTTCCCTTGAGAACACTGGTCAGGAATTAGTGGACATAGCATTGCTTTTGTGAAGGGAAGCTCCTTCTCTGATGGGAGAATTTAGCCAGGAGAAAAAAATACATCCCCATGTGGGATTTGCTATCCTACATTCCAGTAATTGTCAGAGTGTCCATTGGACTGGGGACTTTTCACCAGATGTCTCAGCTATCTTTACTATTACTTTGGTGTTTTTTTTTTGTTTGTTTGTTTTTTTTTTAAACGCCTCTCCTGCCATTCTCTGGCCTTTCTATAACTCAAAGTTCATGAACTGGTCTAATCAACCGGCCAGCTTATTCAGTATGTTGAATATAGTATGTATCTGTTATTTCATGTTCTCCATAGTGTGGTATTCTTTGGTTTTGTTGTTGTTAATTATGGCAATTTACTAATCTGAGAAATTACTGATGAACTGGGTTCATCTAGCGCTGCGTCATTCTCCTGGTTCCTGGGGCATCCTGGGGATGCTAATCCAGCTCCATCTCGTCTTTTTCAGGGTGAACCAGGATCCCCAGGAACTCCRGGCGTTGATGGGGAGCAGGTACTTTATAGTTAAATGGCCTAGTGCAGATCATATGAGCAACCATGAGTTATTTCAGGGGATTATTTTTGTGAATAAATTGTAGCACAGGTTTTGTAACCATATGATCATTATTGTGTTGCTGCATAATATATGGTCACATAATGGCTGCATTTCTACCTATTAATTGCTGGATAAATAAAAATATGATATCTTAGGGTCCTAAAGGCTCAAAAGGGGATACAGGTGAACCTGGAATGCCTGGAGAAAAGGGCGGAATTGGACTGCCTGGCTTGCCAGTGAGTATGAGATAAGAATTSATTTTAGCTAAAATGCCTGTTTTATCACTTCTATTAACAGTAATTTTCAGCAGTGCTGATAAATTGAAACTGGGACAGAAAGCTCTGGGGAAAAAAAAGGTAGGCTTGTTCTGCATCTAACACAGGAGGAGGCGTAGGATTATCAGAACTTTTCATTCTATTTATGGTCAAACAAACCACTGCTTTGGAAAGAGATGAGTTGCTGTGCTGAYCAGATTACTTTTCTCTTGTGCAGATGTACAGCAGAACTGGGGCAAGTATAGATTTGGGCAGTTGTAGCTCGGGAGAATGAGCTATGATTWGAACAATCTGGAATTTCAGGTGACTTAGATTGAGAAGGGGAGAAAATGCATAAAGATTTATAAGTGCATTCTTCTTATTTCTATACATACGTACATACATATATGTATACACACACACACACAAATTAGTATCTTAGTAAAAATACAAACAAATCCCTAAATGTATCCACAATTCAATAGATCATGAAAGCAGTGTTGACTTAGAGACTTCTTATAAGCACCATGTCAGACCTGTCTCCATTTTTTTAGTATTAAAGTATTAATTGCTAGCTGGTAACATAAAAGCATACTTTGCCATTTGCTAACAGCTACTGTTCAAGTTGCATCATGATAAAAGCTTTCAATTCTATTGTATGCATACTGTATTCACTCTTTCYATAAAATGATAATTACTAACAAATAGTATCCTTTCTAGGTTGAATATTACTACTATTAAGATTAAAATTTTTTATAGATACTGTTCTGTAATACTTTTGTAGGGATCCAGTGGTATGAAAGGTGAAAAAGGAGATACTGGTTTGCCTGGTGCCCAAGGCCATTCGGTAAGTCTCACTGTGCAGTGTCCAGCAGGGGGTCTCCACTGAAGAACACTTCATATCTTAGTTGTCTTTGTTTGCTTGATGTGCTTTCAAAATAATTTGCTCACTGAAGAAGTATGATCCTTACCTTTTTACCAGATAACCTTCCCAGGTTATTGGTGATAAGTATCTTTATCTGAGCACAGTACGGCATGAAACTTCAGAGAAAAAGGCCAATGTTTTGTCCGTGGTTTCAAGCACTGGGTACTGAGAACCATGGCTCTAAAGAATTAAAGTAGACTCACCTCAGGACACTCTGGACACCCTCTACCTCAGCACTGTCTGTACATCTCTTTCTCTGAAATGAAAATTAATTTGTTATCACCTACCATGTTGATTATTAAACTCACAGGTCATAGAACACACCTGCTACCTCTTYGGCAGTGCTTTTATAAAAACTAATTGTTCTTTGTTTGGAGATGGGAAATCAGTCCCATCTCACCTTGTTTTCACTTGAAAGAAGCATTGCCTTTTTTCAGGAGATTGCACAGTGGAACCTCCTAGGGTTTTTTATTTTTTATTTTTTTTTGTCTTGTGTTGTAAAACTTGTTTTGTTGTCACTACTGTCACCACCAGCTGTTTGTGTAGCAGAGGGGCTGTACGACCTCCTCCAGGCAGGGGGACTGGCTCAGCATCCCTGCTGCCACCGCACTCACAGTTGACAGTAGCTCTTTCGGKAGGTTAAATCCAGGGAAGGAGGTGATGTTAAACTGTGCAAATTTCATCAGGAAATTCTCTGCTGTGGATTTGCTGAATGAAGCACAGGAAAACAGCGAAGAATACGTACGCACTAAACGACACTTATCACCAATAACCTGGGAAGGTTATCTGATTAACTCTTTTAGTGACGTCAGAGAAACGGGTCTAAACGAAGTAAAAGGAGAATGGGGAATTATGAGAATGTACCAAGCACTGCCATAAGCATTTAGTATCTTTCCATTCATTAGTATTGAGGAAGAATTAAATGACACATCCTCTTCAGCCCCTGTAATTTATGTAGTGCAGATGTAGCTAAAGAACACGTATCATAAAATATTCAAGTATCTTTTCTCAGTAGTTTTAAAGCTGTTTTTTCCGTATAATGATTCAAAAAATTATCTTAGAGCCCAAGAGTAAGAATAAGGAGACGTGTGTTGCCATATTGCATGTTTTTTTTTCAAATGAGAACACCCCTTTTAGACAACGCTGCCAGTACGCACTGCCACATTATTATGTTTTAAAGTGCCTGCCCACAGAAGCAGAGACAAATTTTTGCTATTCATGAGGGAATTATCTATTCTGCTTCATTTAATGACATTGTTTTTTACCTGTAGATCGTAGGACCACCTGGACCAGTGGGGCCACATGGTCCTCCAGGCCCTATGGTAAGCTTGGGAGGAAGAAAGGTCTTAAGCCCTCTTCTCATTGTAATGCCTGTTTAAAAGAGGTGCTGTGAGAGCATGGGACTTTTAGAGAGACTTCCTGCATGTTTTGGGACTTCCTGCATGTTTTAAGTCTTTGGGAAGTGGAGAAATGAATGCACATAGCCGTCCTAGTGCTAACACTCCAGTAGTCTGGTTTTTTCTTTGTATTGGGTATTTACAATTGCTTTACTGAAGGCTGCATTTCATTTGGGAGGATAAAAATACAACTGCAAGTTGCACCCATCTAAGGTAAAATACTCTTAAATTTGTGGCATACTTTCATAATTTAAAATGGGATCTTTTTTTTCAGGGACCTCATGGACTGCCTGGCCCAAAGGTAATTTGACTGCTGTCTTGAATAGCCATGTTCTTGATATCTGTAAAGTGCCATGCTTTATTCTTTAATGCATGCAGCTGTGTTTTGTCTTATGTCTCATTATTTAGATATTTCTGATATTCTTAAACCTTAAAGAAGATTTTAATGTTAACAGATAACTTTTTWAAAAAACTTTTTGTGATTGTTTCTCATCAGTATTTCTCCTGAGCATAGGCTGAGTTCAATTTTGGTATTAAAAATTGTGATGTGGCAGCAAATTATTTAGTTTCCTGTTTGTGGGCAAGTTGCACAGAATTTCCCAATGTAACTGGAATTGCTTCAAATTGCACTTCGGAACACAGAAGAAGAGTGTGTTGTGTGTTTTTTAAATAATAGTAATAATTAAAAAAAAAGASAGTAAACGTATACAACATAATGTAAAAGAATACATCAAAGAGAAACCTAGGAACAAGGACACAGGAAGCAGCCTAGATGAAAACGCCACTATTTGTGTGTCCCGAAAGAGGCTGGCAGGGTCAACAGCCTTTTGACTGGGCAGCCTCCAGGCTGAGGTAATCTTACATGACGCGAGAATGATCTACTGGCAATTCCAAGGACACCATTGCCCTCTTTTTTACAGTTCATTTGGCAGCCTATGCATGGTTTTTACAATCACAAAAAGCCAAGTGCCATTTCTTAGATTGTTTAAACTTCTCTATACGAACACAGAAACTATGGACTCCAAAAGTACCTTTACACAACAAAACATACTGCTTAATGTGTATGCTTAAAGGTTTAAAATATCTTTATGTAAGATGTTGCTACAAATTCCAGTTTACTATAAGAAAAGGATATTGCTTCCATACAAAAAGCACTTTTCAGGAGAAAATACAGAAACCTTCTGTTCTGAGGTTTATTCTTGCAGAAGTTTTCTTTCAATTTGAAATATCAGTATAGAATCATTTGAGATATGAAAAAAACTCAAATAAAAATTCCAATCATCTAAATATTCAGATAGTGACTTAAGAGAATCTGTTATCCATCGGTTTCCTGTAGTATTTTCATACAGATTGCAGCTCTCAAGGGATACCTCTCAAGTACTACATGTATATGTACACACACACATATATATATACATATATATATATGTACGTATGTAGATTGCTAGCAGACTGAGAAGGTTGAATCTGTATCCTTGTTTTCAACTGGAATTTGCAGCCATTTCTGAGATTGGTTTCTTCTTTCCCAKCTTAAATATCCATTATAGCACCAAAAATTTGGCATTTATACTTTTACATTTAGGGTGAACCAGGGTTAAATGGTCTTAATGGATTGAAGGGTGAAGCAGGTCAAAAGGGTGACAGAGGGCCCCTTGGTCTTCCAGTAAGTAAAAAAGCCTATTCAATTTCAGTGCAAATCACAAATTTATCTTTCTACTTTCAACTCTGGTTTACTCAGTAGCATATATCAAATATRCCATTGGTTGCAGCAGAACACCAGGCTGGCTTGGAATTGCAACACCTGTAACACCCAGTGCTGTCGTTTTTTTTGTCCTGTGTCAGTTGAAAGTGTTCAGTGTCACAAAGATGCCATCACCCCCATTAAGCTTACCATTATTTAAATGTTGYATGGTGTTTACTTTGGAAAAGAATCTTGGTTTTCTTTTTTTTTCCCCCCTTCGTATTCTTAGTTTTTTTATCCCGTTAGAACTCTTGTAGTTAAAATAGAGAGGTCTAAACTGAACAAAGTTAAGAACTGGTTTAGGGAATTTTCATTTTTCTTTTTCTTTTTTTTTTTCCCCTTCRCTATAGAAACTGGATTTTTATCTTGCCATTATGCAAGGGTTTTTGCCTGGTATGCTTTAGAAAGCATTCTGACTGGCTAGAATTCTGCCCTAGAAGGAGATAAAAGACATAAAACATAAAAAATTTCAAATGAAAATACTGTGCTTCTTGCAATTTAAAATAATAAAGCAGAAAATACTTTGTGTGCTCCTTTGTGCATCTGAAAACAATCTGTGAAGAGTAAATTTATTTCATGTGTTACTTTACCATTGGAGTAACTCCATGTGATTGCATTCTAATATTAAAATGGGAGATAAAAACTTTAGATAAAGAAACCTAAATTTCTGATAAACATTTCCAATAATTTTATGCAGACAGTAAGTAAAATCAGCTTCACTGAGAACTTGCATTTATTTGACAAATTTGATCATTTTCAAGTTGACAGTTATAGCTATTTAAGGAACAAGTTTTTCAGTTCTTAGCCAAACTCTCAAAAATGAGTAAGTAGGAAAACAAAGTTTTAGTTACTCCAGAAATATTTGTTCTAATCTATAGGAAAATACTGCCTTAGTTTTACAAATTATATAGCTCTGTCTATATAGTCTTAGATAGTTTTGCATCTCACTGTTTTTTTTGGTAAATGTCATTTTAGATTGTGAAGTCCAGATGTTTTATTTTCACAAAAGGCTCATTTTCACCATTAATGAGTCCTTTATCTCTCCTTTCTTGGCTCACATTGCTACTTATGTCCCTAGTACCCAAATAATTTGGATCCTTTTAGTCCTAGCATTATTGCCAGCAGTCCTTGGATGGTCCCTCAGCTCCTGCCCTGCTGGTTTGTTATTCACATAAAATCCAGCAGAGGTCATCCTGTCCCCAAGGATGCCAGAGTCAGTAGCCCTAAGTGCTGCACCCATCCAGTACCTCCATGTGCTCTAAAATTGTAGTATATTGAAAAGACAGGAAATTGGATTGTCTCCTGGGCGCTTGGAAATTGAGGCCATTGTTGCCGGGATCCAGAGTCTGATGGTTACATAATGCAGCTTTCTTACGTACTTTCTATCGATGTTAATATATTTATGTTTGTGTAGTACAATTTGGCATTGTTATTATTTACAAGTGAGAAAGCGTGCTAACAAATTGCAAAGTAGTATTTGTGTGTTAAGGCTCAAAAATGCCATAACATCTGATATTTGTAGCACTCTGACGCTTATTCTGATCAAATGTACGCTGATGTGAAGCCAGAGATGTGTCAGGGAAGATATGAGAACAGAATGAAGCTCTTGATGTTTTATGTAATGTTTTAACTAACACGCTATGGTAATGTGATACCCATTCCAAAACGCTGYCACAACTTGTACTCTGCATTTGAATTATGTAATTATTCATCAGCACGACTTACTAATCTCACGTTCTTGTCATTCATATTATGTCCATCATCCGTGCTTCCACCTAATCATACAGGGAGCATCTGGCTTAAACGGAAAGCCAGGAGCCCGGGTGAGTCCCACATGTTTCTGTGTCATTCTGCGTTAGTAAGTCTGTGCACATTCCAGCCCTTCTGCCTGCTGCATGGCACGCAGGAATGGAGGTAAAACTTCCAAGGATTTTCCAGCTTGGATCAGAGGGGTTCCACAGAGCAGACCCTTGTAGCAATGATTGTGAGAGGAGAATGTAATTCTCTGTATGTAGAAGGAGCTCTGCATCTCAAGAAGGCAGTTTGGTACTGATTTTTGGTTGTACAGCTGTGCTGCAAAGCTGGCTTAAATATAGCACAGGATATCCAACCATATTTATTTTATTCCTGCATATTTTGTTCCTCCTTGATTGGCACTAGCCTGGGGACTGAGGCTATGTCACAGTGACTGGCTCTCCARGCCTGTATAAGCAAACCTGCCATTTGAATGAAGCATGTTGTATGTCATCCTTTCTTTTGCTTGTACTTACTGCAACACCAGCAATGAAATCAGCAGTGGGCAATGCTTAAAGCAGTGATCTAAAGTGGTATTTAAAAGAAAAACAACATCTGGGCGGGGTGCTTATTTCCCTGGTAAGAAGTTTGGTTTACATAGGAAGCATATTTGTTTAAGGCTAATACTGAATCAGCGAAGTGGATCAAATCTGTTGGTGTCTCGCCTCAGGAATTCACATGTTTAAAAGACATGTAAAATTACCTGGTTTTTATAATGCTAAAGAAAGGGATAAAGTGAAAAAAATGTGGAAGTATGTAGTATGTTTAGTATGCATTTAAAGGCCTGGCGCTGATCAATGTTACAGGTGTGCCCACCTGTACGGCAAACATTTTATTTAAAAAAATGTGTTTTTTTTAAAAAGGCACATTTTTGATTCTTCAGTTCRTTATTAAATTTTAACACCTTTGTAAAGCTGCTGATTTCCAGAAATAAAGTCCAATCCAGCTACAAGAGAGAAATGCTACCAGACAATCTAAGTGTTTATACGTAGAGTTTTGAAAGCATATTTTTTCCCAGGTCCCACCACAATCAAATCTGTATGAAAACTGATTCTATGTTAGTTCTCAGGTAGAAAATAGCTATCTTTCYTACCTTCTTTGTTTTCTTCTTCAGGGTGTTGATGGCCCAGCTGGTCCCTACGGCCCTGCAGGTCCTAAAGGGGAGAGAGTAAGTATAACTCGTTGAGTTTTTCTTGTGAGCTTTTCTTGTGAAGAAAGCGGCACAAGGGCAGACAAAATGTCATGTGGCTGCTCGCTGCATGCCTAGATGTTACTGAACAGAACAGTATCTCACCTGTTCAAGGATCAACCCAGGGCTAGGGATGCTTTCAACCTATTCACAGTTACCTGTTAAAGCTATAAGGGATGAATCTGTAACTAACCTCAGAGGCACTGGTATTTTGCAATTGCTAATCAGTAAGAAGCCTGTAAGACTTTTTGAATTCACAGTTCTACACAGAAGAGAATTTTGGTTTCATTACTTGTACACATAGTTTGAGGGGGGGAAAAACTGGAATAACAGAAAATAGTCTGATCTGACTGTGTACAATATATGTATGCCATGGCAAAAAAAAAGAGTATTCCTTAACTATTTCCACATATATATTTTTTTTTCTTTATCTTGAGTAAATTCTGTAGCTACTCCAAAAATTTAAACTTTCTTTCTGTTTTTTTTTAAGCTTAGATAGAAAACCTCYTATTTCATTTGAAATATTCCCAGTGGTGTTTTTTCCCCCCAGCAGAAATAGGATAGGTCTCTTATTGTTTAGTTAAGTGTCCCTCAGCTTTGGCAACACTCCCTTTAACTTGTACAGGAAAACAAAAGAGTATACCTCATATACTGACTAAAACCTCCGAGGAGCTCCCAGAGGAGGCCAGAATTATGTCTGTCTGAATTTCTCAGTTCAACACAACAGCTGTGTGAGAACAACTTGAGACTTGTATTGAGGGCACGGCACATGGCAGAGGTACAGGTGGCTTTAGCAGCCATACACGTGAGGCTTTGCATGACTTGAGCATTCACCATTGCAGAGCYGCATGGTGAGAAACACACACCAGACCCACAGCACAGTCCAAAACAGATCAGTGGCTTGTAGCTACCCCTCAGGTTAGCTAACGGTCTGAAGCTAATGTCATGGTACCTCTTTCCCTAGGGAATTAGGGACTCAAGTTTTTTTTCCCAATAGACATACCTTTTTCTTTTTTTTYTTTTTTTTTTTTTCCCTCCTGTTGACTTTGCGGCAAGATGACCTAACATTTATTCTATACTTCAGAAAATAGTTTAGATGAGATAAACATACAGAAATATATGTAGATATTGTACATTTTTTGCATTATGAAATTTTATCTTGAAAGATGAGATATGCCTACTACTGGTTGAATTTTTTTTTTTTCAAAAGCAATGTGCTATAATATAAACTATTCTTCCAAACTACAAAAAATTAGCCGGAATTGTTCTTTTCTGTGAAAGGGTCCAAGGTCATAAGAAGTCATACAGCTGGATGTAGAATCTGCCCTACTAGAGCTGCTGCTAAATAGTCARTAGAAAGGGGACAGGAACAGCTGAGATGTAAATTGGTTCAGTAATTGCTTCAGCAGGGCAAGAGAGATTTGTGAAAATGAAGAAACTGAGGCACACAAGAAATGCCCACACACCCCCTCAGCATAATTATAACCCCAGTGTGCTTATTGCTGCAGTTGTTGATATGATAATTATTTAATACTGTTCAGGAGGACTTATAGTGTAGTTATATAACAGGTACCTGGAGGCAGTGCCACTATTAATTAATCAGTGAATTCTTAATGACATTTTACAGTTTGCACATGCACTATCTTTGTCTGCAAATTTTAGGCTTTATCCTTTAAATAAAAATGGCACACGGTGCTACTGCTTGCGGTTGCTGCACAGGATCATATTTTGTCCTTGCTGATAAGAGAAACCTCAGGCCAATATTAACTTAGAAAAGCACTAGGGAGTCCTAAGGTCAAACATAAGCACATTCTTAAATCTACATTATTTAAAATTTGAAAACCCGATGGCACTCTAAAAGGAAACACGTAAAATGCTGTTCACTATATATTTATGCTTTTTTAAAAATTAGAGGAAAAAAGTATAATCAAAACTAATTTCAAGAGACTGTTGCCTTGACGTTAAAGACCTGGTTTTGACCTTGTTTTTGGCTCTCAGACAGGTAAGCTAAGCTGTGCTGACATTGCTGTGCAAGTTCTGCACAGGGAGAGAAAATGCATCTTTTTTCTTTGGGTTAAAATGCTTATCACAAGTGCTCTGGAATCTCCTTATCAATTTTTATAAAAGCAACAAACACACGGTTTTGTTCTTGCAAATTGTAGCTCACGTTCACCCATGATTCAGAATATTGTACTGAAACAGGAGGCAAAAGCAAAGACTACTTCGAATTTTGAATTTCTGTTCTTTTGGCAATGGTAACTTGTCTTATGAAAATAAATTAAGAACTTGCTTGAACATTGTGAACGTCCATTTCCCTAACAGAAATAAGTTACTGGGATAATTSAGGGCAGTATGCCTGTGACAGTCCATTAACTTTATAAAATCCACAAATACTGAGGACCTCATCTGGTATTCTAAGCACATTTCAGCACATGCTTTGTATTGGAAGGAAAAAATATTGTCAGATGCATTTTTCCAAATATATTCTTGCATAACAGATGAGATTGCTTCCCTAGACTGCTAAACTGTCAGCATTTTTATGTCTACCATATGTTTAGCAATGTTACTGACCTTTCTTGAGGGGACTTCGTACAGTTGTATGTGCTGTTTAAAATAAAACATGATATGTAGCTAGTCTTGACGTATTTCAAGTATTGTTCAAACAGTTTTGTACCTATTGTCYACGTAGGTGACTACATTAGTTTCTTCTTAAGTAAAAGTTTCAAAGCTGTAAGAGATTTTCTACTTTATAAATCTGTTGTTACTTCCCAGCACTCTTTTAAGTGCTGCCCAGGAACCATCAGACACAAGACATCTAATCTCTGCTAGGCTGCAGGGAGAGTGTCAATTGACATAAAATGTGAAGTACCTAAAACACATCAAATGTCATTTTTCCTAACACGCTCGCTGTTGTGGTGATTATTCAATATCAGACTGAGTTTCAATTTATTCTGGTYTCTGCTTTTTTATTAGGCAGTCAATACAATCTCTACTTAAGCTGTCTGTTTTTAGAGCTGTGCTAAGGCACTTCAGTGTACAAGTGAGGAGCGCTAATTAATTATGTTTGCATCTGTCTTGTGCTATAATTAATAAAATAATGAATTAATAATGAGCAGTAAATAGCCCAGGTTTTAGAAGGCCATGTATGAAGAATTAGTCCAAGAGCTTGAGAGAGGCTATTGTTAGGATGTAACATAGGATTTCTTTATGCCTAAAGCCTGGCACAAAGGAAAAGAAGTAAAAGGTGGATTCACATAACTCTACATGATGAGCACAGAACTGAAGGTGATCTGGAAATGTTTTTGTATCATCAACACTGTAAGATGTTTAGTTTGCTTAAGATAATATGGCTCTTGTGCCGGATTTTACTCGAGGAACAGGCACAAGTCCGAAACAAACCCGTTTSCTACCCCATGCTACATCTTGTCACCCAGGCCAGTGCAATAGGAAAAAAAAGTAATATGACCTGAATGTCATTTGGCTAATGAACAATACATACCTTCCCTCTGCCCCCCGTATTCAAGAAAAATGATCTTGGTAGATCTTTTTGTGCCAAAAAAAAAAAAAAAAAGATTCAGGAATGCACAGACTTTAACTTAAGAAAAAGAAAGCATTTGTTAGAGATTGTTTCTATCTAAGCTAGCCAATGTTTTTGTCTGCTTTTTTAATAATCTCTTTTAGGGTGAAAAGGGAACTGCTGGYGACCCCGGACCCAGAGGACCATATGGCTTGCCTGTAAGTTGCATGTGATTTGTACACGTTGCACCTTTCAGCACTCCTTGGTTAAACTCTGTGCACTTTATGGCAGCTTTTCACCTAGCAGTGCAATTAGTTGGAAAAGGCAAAGACGGGTAATAACTCCTGACAATGCAAGGTCACTGGGCTGTGTCACAGCCTTAGGCTGCTGCTCATGCCTGCGGTTCTGCAAAACTAGTGGAACAGATCTGACTAAAAGACAGAGAGGAAACCCAAAAGTTCAGGCTCTCCTATTTCTGTAACGTGTGGATTCTCTCCTGCCCTAATGATCAGCAAAGCACTTGGAAGCTACAAGAGTCCAGGATAAAGGGCCGGTGTGAAAGCTCTGATTTTATTCATGCCTATAAGTTGTGCAGATTTTCTTGCTGCAAGGCTTCACTGCCGCAGGGCAGGGACTCTAGTTTCATCTTTGTGTGTRGTAATGAGGAGCACTTTGAAAGCTTGTTTGTGGTTGTTAGTAGGTAAAGATGATGTGCTTTAAATTAGCCTTTAAAATAACTTTATTCATGCTTAAAACATGGAACTTCATGGGTGCAACTTCTATTGGAGTGAGGACAGCCCCACTGACTAAAATGACTTACTCCAACTTGCGGAACTTGGTCCGCAAAATGACTTACTCCAACTTGGTCAAGTATAGGCATGTGTGTGTTCCATACAGTGACATACAAGAGAAGCTGCGTGAATAAATGTGTTTGGCACAGCAGAGCCAGCCTCCCTAAGAAACTTGCAGTGTTCCCATTTCATTGTTTCCATACCCTCTCCATACCCTCTGATCTGTTTGAGCCAAATGAATCTGAGCTGGAATTCGCATTTGTCGTTTAACTGGATCTATTTAATTGGCTCAGGAGTCAGTGACTGGAAAAAGTTTCCAGTCTGTGGACAAAGACTGCACTAACTGGCAATGCATGCTTGTTTGAGGGGCACTTCTGTGACTTAAAAAGTCTCATTACTGTTCCCTCTTCCTGGGAACTGAAAATGAAAAACGATAGGCCTTTTTTTTTTTTTTTTTGCATTTTTGGCTTGCTCCTGGAACCTGTATGCAATCTACAGCAGAATTTTACAGTCAAGTTATCAGTTTCTGGAAATGTTAAACACTGATAGAAATGTAATGGTAGAGCTCTGTATGGAGCCTTAGCAAATTATTAAAGGGAATTAAAGGGAAGTGAGCATCAAGACAGCCCCGGTATGAAAGCTGGGGAGGCTAACACAGCTTGTGTGGTTCTTTGGCAGGGCCGAGATGGCGAGCCTGGCCTTGATGTAAGTAGTATATCTGTGGGCAGTGCACTGAGTCGTAGGTAAGCGTGTTGCTGCATGGAGCGCGTCCGTTCCCACTGAGCGTGCATGCCGAGCGCGCGGCGGGGGCATGGAGCGCTGCGCACGGAGCGCTGCACCGGCGGCCTCTCGGCCCGGCAGAGGGGCAGCTCTGCGCCGCTGCACAGCCCTTACCTGCGGAGCCGCCAGCTCGAGGGCTGGGAATACGGCCGCTCAGGCCTCTGGAAGTCACTGGGATGAACTGCATTTGGTATGAAAATGTTTTCCCAGCCAAACCTGTGGCTCATTCTAAGCAGAACAAGGAGCCACTAATATCTGGTTAAATAAATTTATCTCTAATTAGAAAAAGTGATTGTATACTCTATACACAATATATATTTCAAAATAGAGGCTCTTTCCTTAGCGTGTTAGAAAGACTTAGCAGAATCCTTTCACTCTAATTCTCATCTGAAATCCCTATTTTGGAGTCTTGGCTGGAAGTTACATGTGCTACATAGCATGGCCTGTTGTCATTTTGAGTGATATTTCTTTCTATTGCTGGCAAAATGACTCTACTGAACAGCAAGATTTACCTTTCTCACATGCTCATGTGCATGCATGTGCTTGTGTGTGCCCACACATACATATGTACACACACAAAGCATGTAGCGAAATGATCTTTCTGTGTTTTCCAAGAGTATTTGGAAGTCTAAACTGCACAGGAATAATCTTTGTCCATTTTTTATAGGGTTTTCCTGGCCCTCGAGGAGAAAAGGGTGATATAGGAGAAAAGGGAGAAAAGGTGACCTAAGTGCTATTAACTGTTGTTTGATTCCTCAGCTCAGTCAGTTCAGTTGTCTTATTTTATAAATTGTCCCATTAAACCTGATCTTTCTTTTCACTGTGTGCCAAAAGGCAGGTTACAGATACGTGCTAAGCAAAATCATGTGCTAGAAAGACTCCAAAATTTGATGCACAGAAGTACTAATACCAACGCATGCCAAAGCAGGAGGAAGAGAGCATTCTACTCACAGCTGGGTTTTAGTGTTACTTTCTTCAGTCTGTCTTACACTTGTTGAAAGTCCTTGTCAGACTGCAGTTCTTAATGCAGACATCTCTGCAGTGAGTCACTGAGGTAGCAATTTCATCCTGGAGACATCAACTCTGATCCTTGTTAGTTCTGAGCAACTCTGCAGATCCCATTGTGCCAAATGGTTAAGGATAGGTACTGTTTGCACTCTTGTTTTTGGCAATGTCTTCTTTACAATTCAGAGAAGTAAATATTTACACTTAGTGGCTGTGGATTACATCATATACTAGAGTTTCAGTATCCCCCCMAAAATTCCTTAAAATATGAAAGTTAAAAGAAACGGCCTAACTTCATTTTGGCTGTCCAAACACAATGCCTTGGGGATATGCCCCAAAAAAGAGCAATTGAAGATGACCTGCAGGCAGAGGAAGCTCATGAACAAACCTCCACCAGTCCGGAGCCACATACTCGAGCTCCTTCCTACTTGCTAAAGCTGCWGAGTTAGCACTCACATCCAGACCTTGATATAGAAGTGCATGTAACACAGCAGGTGATTGCATGCAAGTTTATAGKAGGCCCACATCCCTCTAAGGAATCCTTATCAATAATGAGGAGGAAAAAATGTCACTGCATCAATTAAAGGTACTGTAAAATGTCTCCTCCATTCCATCCTTTGTTATGTTGTTCAAGCAGGGATCTCAGAGGTCTCTCGTGTATAGCAGAGATTTTGACTAGCTCTCTAATCTGATGGAGTCAACAGTGTGCCCTCATGTTGGGATGCATGAGGAAGATTATTACTCCCTCTAATCAAACCCTTTGAGGCTACTTAATACCATGTCCAGTATTCTGGGCCTTTCAGTAGGTGGGAATCAAATAGATCTACAGTAGTACCTTCTATTCTGGATATCTATATAARTCTGTGCTTCCATGTACAGCTTGAGATAGACAAAAGGAATAGAGCTAGCAGAGCCCTGGAAGATCCCCAGAAGCAAACTGAGAAGTTAGTAAAATAGCTGGCTTATATGAATCTTATTTCATGTGAAAACAGCACAGGTAAGATTCCTGCACTCATAACATAGAAATCCCTGGTATTTTTAATGTCCTAGAGTCCAGCATGGCATATGAAAATGCATCTGCTTCAATAGAGTTAAACCAGCTTACAGGTTAAAGAGCTACTTCTTCGTTTCCTGGATTTAAAATATTGCTTGCAATATTGCATTGCACATGTATGGATTAGCAGATTAATRCAGATTAGAACAGATAAGATTTAGTAATTGAATTGAACTGCATTGTAAAAATAATCATTGTTACTAAAATTTGAATGTGAGACAGGGATGCTTCTTTTTTTCATAAATATGTTTTGGTAGGGAATAAATCTTCACTTCCACAGTTTTGAGATCACATCCTAGACTGGTAATTTTTATTGTAGCCTGTCACTAGTTCTGAAACAGTGAAACTAAGTCAGTGTTTGCATTATAAACTCTGTTTAACTTGGCTGTAAAACAACCAACCAGTCAACATCAAAAAAAAAAAAAMCAGTGGTCTAGCTGTAATTATTCACATATACTTATAGTCCAGGAGCACACACAACAAAAATACTTGTAAAATTGGTTATTGGTTTCATATTTTTAAGTTTTACAAATAGAAAAGTGTTTCTGAAAAAATCTCTCAAATGCTACACTCTACATCTGAAAAGAGGTTCTAGAAAATTACAAAAAGATAAATGGTGGTTCAAATTTCACTTTTTTCAACTTCTCTCATTTTAAAAGGTTCAACAGTTAAGAAAACCCGGAAATTGTGTTGCACGGAGAATGAGGGTGCCCTGGTCCAACTGTGCACAAATCATGTTGACAGAGGTGTCTGGTCTCTTCTCCAGACAGGCCTGGCTGGAAAAGCGTCACCCTCCTCCATGGCCCCTGCAGTGATGAAAATTTGGGCCTGTTGGGCCTGGAGAGTCTTCGGGCTGTAACTGTGTTACAAAAGTGCCACAGATTTGGGTTTCTGGGGGCACTGAGGCAGGACTGGAAGTAAACTTTTTTTTTTTTAATTGTTTTTTGATTATCCATTGGATATGCTTGTCCTTATTCCCTGTGGATCCCCATAGTTCAGGGTAAGGAGGTTCAGCTTACGGAGGAAGTCAGTGCATGGAAAAACTAGTAGAATGCTCAAGAAATTCAGACTGCTCTCTTCTCCATATAGATTATTGATTGTTGCATTGGTTGGAATAAGATCTGAGGTTTGCCCTGCAAGCTGGACGTGTAAATAGTCAGCTGCTGACTTGTAACTCAGCAAGTCAATTAAATATAAGTTTTAAATACTGAGTTAGAGCAGAGTTAGAAACACTGCTTACATATTTTCAGAATCATTTTCAGAATATGCCTCTGCTCTGCACTTGCAAATACTTCTGTGTTACACCCAGCACAAATAACATGAGATTTAACCAGGAATCTGTTGTTTTTCTTTGCTGTACTGCCATGTTGTAGATACAATATGAAAACTTAGACAATTTACMATTCCTGGGTCATGGTTTTTCTTATTGTGTCATAATCTTACAGTTTCCTAAATAAGAATATTTGGATTGTTTCCTTCATAAATATTAATTTACAACTTTTTGGCACACAGAAAAGATAGACAAGGAGCTCTGTGTGGTCACGAGTACAGTATGTTTTGTTTATGATACTTTTTTTAAAAAATTGAATGCGTCAAACATGCAGTGATATTACATGAATAATATACTTTCCTTTTAAAATATGTTATAGCTATTTTTTTATTGGTGTGATAATGGCTTCTGTTCATGGATTAAGTCTTTCTGTGCTGGCATGGAACTAGTTTAATGTCAGTTTACTATGCTTTACCAAAATCTGTCTGTCTTTCCAAAGGGGCATTCCTTCCTTCTCCTTCTACCTTCATTCCTTAAAATTCCTGTCTTTTTTACCCTTTTCCTCACAAATTAAATCATCCCAATAGCCACAACCTCGCTTGCTGGTTCTCCAGTGCCCTACTAATTTTCCTTTGACTATTTTTTTCCCATTTCTTGGTGATACTTCTGATTTACTTATCCTTCCTATCCCATTTTTTACAATCCTAGTCCAATTTGTTTCTTTTTTTTAACAGAACCTTTTTTTGATTTTTGTGAAACTCAGAGTGAGCCTGAAATTCATTTACCATTGTGATCAACTGGTGTGATATCAATTATAAAACGAACTCTTAAAACATCATATACTGCTTGAAGGTGAGGTCATCTTTATAGACAGCTTTGAGGAGAGGAGAGAAAATGCAGAAAAACTTTTTCTGTGCCAAATTTCTGTGAGTAATCTAAACTTYGGAAGACTCAATGCAAAATCAAGGGACCAAATTACATGAAAATAAGTAGATTAAATGATGCCTGCAGTAGAAGGAGCACTTAAATGTTGGAACATTTAGATACAAGAAATACAGGAATGTAATTATCACCTGTTTTTGATATCAGGATATTATGGTATCATTGATAGGACCCCAGCATCTCTCCATCAAGCAGTTTCGATCTTTTSATTCCTGTAACAGGGCTTGAAACTAAGGCTTAATACCATGCCTGATCCCAGTGGCAGCAGTAGGACAACGTTTGTCCCAAACTCCATCTAAAGGCCCAGATGCGGGAGACTCATTGGCAAAGGATGCTCKGGGCCAGGCTTGCCTTTTCCAAGCCCTGCCAACCAGGCCCCAGCAGTTTTCAGAGAAACTAAAAATTTTGTGCTTGCAGAATTCGAAGTTAACTAGTGACAAAGAAATTTGCTAAGGGAGCTGCCAATTTCAGTTTAGGGYACATCTACACTTCAGAACTATCACTTTGAGAAAATAGGAGACGCTTAATTTTAGATAATGGGTTGTACGGGCTTGCAGACCTGCGTCTATCTCAAGAAATCAGTTTGCTATTTCAAGCCCTGCTCTAGGATTCAAAACTTTCATAATAATGATACAAAATATCATCACAAAGTAATACCAACTGATTGCAGTTCTTTGCTTGTGATCATATCATTTATTTTTCCACACAATGCACCATCCAAACCAGAACACAGTGGTAAGTGTCCTTTCAGCTCTCCATTGGCTTAAAAAGAAAACCCCAAACTTTTGAACCAATCTTACCTTTTTTTTTTTTTACCCGCCCCCCCAAACGAATGAATCATATGTTTTATCCAAACCATTGTGTCCACAGGGGGAAAAGGGAAAGAAAGGCAAAAAGGGGCCTAAAGGGGAGAAAGGAGAACAGGGTGCTCCTGGATTAGATGCACCTTGCCCATTGGTACGTCTCACTTGTGTATTGGACAGTCAGTCCTGCTGCTGTAGATTGATGCACTAAGATGTGAGGGCAGAGGACCGAGCACCAGCTTGAGTGTGAGCTGTTACCACTGGTCAACAGAGCCTCATCTCGAGGTCTGGAAATTGGGAATAGACTTTGKTTTTTTGTCTTCATAATTTGATATAAAGCCCTTCAAGCAAAAATTCTTTTTTGTTATTTTCTGCTGAACATGCTGGAAAGGAACCAAATCTGGTGTGCAGCAGAGTCATCGCCCCTCAGTTTGCAGCACCAGGGCTGTGCGCTTGCTCCTCTTGCCTCACCATTGTTATTTGTTTGCTCCAGCTAAGTCAATACCAAAGGCATTTCCTTGACAGTAACATTGCAAGTTAATCTTTACAAACAGGGATTCCGTGGAATTAAGGGGGAAAAAGGGGAGCCAGGCCAGCCTGGCCTGGATGGGCTGGATGCCCCTTGCCAATTGGTACAGTATTTCTCTTTCCTACCAACCCTGCATGCGGTTCCTTTGTTTGTAGTCAGCCATTTTCAGTGTAATGTTTTTCTGAGCAGATTTTACATTGTTCACGTAACACATGCATGCGCATGAATAAACCAGCTGCCTCAGTGATCCTAACTGTAATGAGTGAACACACATTTTTGCTGACACCTTAAATCTAACTCTCAGCAGTCTCTCCCATATCACATGCCAATTTATAAGCTTGTGTCCTTCCTACGTTTTCCCCAAGACCTATTTTGTTATTTTCCTCACAAAATGCCTATTGCCTTACTCACCCTGAACGCAAGTCTTTGTAGAAAAGCAGCACAACGTCCACTTCTAATCAAGCCTGTCTGCACTGGCTCCCTTCACACTTGCCTGCCCTGGAACTATTCTTCACCCTGGACTTCTTTTCAAGTCTATAWAGTCTTGGGTACATGTTTCAAAGATCTGATTGAGAGCTGTGTAAGAAGAATCGTCTCTAAAATCATGCCATAGGTTTCCAGTAAACAAAGCTGAAGTCTGATTCTAGGCCTTACACAAGCAGTACCTCTGCTGTTTGGCCATTCCATCAAATAGAATTCAGATCACAAYATGAAAAACTTACCTGAGGTTTGTAAGAAGATAACAGTCTGCAGCCCAATCCCTCACTGTCTTTGTTATTTAACATCTTCAATTTAATGGTCTTACCCTTGGAACTTACCTTCCTGAAACACACACAACACTCCTCCACTTCCCTGGTAGCATGAATTCAAGTTCCCACCTATACTAAAATTCTACTCRTTTACCCTCTCCCTTGTACCAATCTGGCAACACTGATTTTTAATTAATAGCAAAGTAAGTTTAAATATTTTCCATTTCAAAAATGAACCAGACATTCACATTTCCTAAAGATACAAATTTTTTTTTCTTATTTTTTTTTTAATTGTTGGCAATAAAATTTGATCTGCATGTTCTGATACTGTTTGGTAGTTAAGCACGGTTCTCTAAAATGAATGTTAAGTAGACTTTATTATCAGCTATGGCATTTCTAATTTAAAGTTATCAGTGGATTCTATTCTTAAATATATAGTCCATGTTATATTTTGTTTGCTTCCGATTAATGATAACCATATCTCATATATTTTGTTGGGGTAATGAAGCATGCTTTCATAATGTAAAAATGTGTCTCTGTTTCTGCATTATCATTTGTATCTGGAGATTCATAAACAATTATTGATGACGGAAAAATATTCATTCATAGGTAATTACCAGAATAAGTTGTTAGGCAGATGCTACTCTCTCTTGTAGGCAGCAGGCCATTCCCATTGGATTATATGCATGCACATTAAAAAAAATATTAATTACTATTTTGAGAATATCTTCATGTAATGAGTATTACTCTATTTTAAGAGATGTCAAGGCCTCATTTATTTTTTCTTCTAGTTTACAGTCTAGCGGCATGATATATGTTGCTAATGCTTAACATCTAACTCTCTGATGGATAAGCCCTTTATAGTTGTTTAAATTGAAATTAATTCTATAGCATAATAGATACGCTTATCAGATGAAAAATTTGTTCTGATCTTTCTAGACACACAGAAATGCCTAAAAAGAGGGTGGTGGCAGAAGAGACATGCAGTGACTCTCACTAACATAGCAAATTAGATGGCCTTACCGTCCAAGCTGTRAAAGTCAGTGCTGCCTCCACCCCTATGTTCAAGTTCTCTTCTGCTGTTTCATCAGGGAACCTGTGCAGGCCTGAAGCTTTCACTGCTTCATTTGAAAACTAGGAATGAAAGTGAGCAGAAAAAATGATAGTAGAATTTGAGTATAGCTATCTTATCACTGGCATAACTTTGTACTAGAGGGCCATGAAAAAACAATACACTCCAGATAAAAGTGATAACATTTTTGCTTATTGATCTGGTACATTCAGCTACGGATTGTTATGAATGACAGCCCAGATTGTTGATAATGCACAGCCTGAGCTCTAACAGCAAAGGGAAAGTGATTAAGATGGTTTTGCAATTAAATATACAGTAGTAATGATTTAGAACAAACAAACCTTTCTGACAGAGAGGCACGTATGTACTTACGGTATAAACATTCTCTCCTTTGGCTTTTCCTTCACCCTGAGAACGAGAGATAACTATTAAGTTAGAAAATGGTAGCATTTTATTAGATAGAAAGACAAACTTGTTTCAGCTGTTCTAACAGATACTGAGAGACTATCTATTAAACAAACCTAACTGTGCTCTTCCTTCCGCTTCCCTCCCCAACCCCTAAACAGGGTCCCGATGGATTACCAATGCCTGGCTGTTGGCAAAAGGTAGGATGGGTAGGGTTCCCTTTTCCTGGGTTACACAGAAAATCTTGTCCCAGTCATACTGCACAGTGTGCTCATAAACTTCAGGAGCCCTTGGACTTGCAGTGTATGCACTGACACTTAGTAAGACTTTTTCATGACAGTAGTTGGTGTTTTAAGGCAGTTAAAAAATTATACAGCAGTAATAAATCATTGAAGTATTTAAGAAGCAGTTGACACTGAATTTTTGGAAATTCAAAAACTTCTCGTTAATAGGAGAAGTCATGCATCCTTTGGTTTCTGCACATGAAATACTGGTTGCCACTCTTAATAAAAGCTCATGGATATGGTAGCTCACTCAAATACCTGTACTGTTCTTTTATAGTCTATTTTTTTTTTCTGGGATATGTTACAGAAAAATGCATCCTGTCTTCTCTATACTTAGAATAGAATCTTTCTATTCTTTGATACATTTTCCTGATGGTTTTATTAGCTCGTACCGTTATTTTATGTCCTGCTAACTGGCAACATTATTTTGGTAATGACTTAACAGGGTTCAAAAACATTAGTATGCAAAGTAAAGCTSTAGGTGGATAGTGACACATTAATACACTAGAAAAAATAACCACAAGTGAAATTCTGGATGTGTTTAACCCAGTGACAAAACRGCTATTGACTTCACAGCGGGGCAGATTTTTGCCCCAAGCCTTTTTTAGAACTACTTCCAGATTGTTATTTCCCAAGAGCAGCCTCTGAATGATGAAAATGGTTGTGTGTGAAATACTTTGAGAACTTTTTTTTTTAATTTAAAATGTTTTAAATTGGTTTGCTTTCAAAGAAATTACTACTAATGAAAGAAATTACTCCTCTTGTGGGCRTATCAGAAGAGTAGCTGGTGTTGCAAAAATGAAGATAAAATTCTGCCATATCCATCTGTATTTATGTATTCAAAAACATGAAATACTGATTTACTAACCTAGTCAATCTGTATCTCTTTTTGTCTCTTGCAGTGATGACTCTAACCTTACAAGCATGAAGTTGTGTATAGTGTTCCACTTTTTGTATTTATAGTTGAAAACTGAAAATTTGATTTTACAAGTCTGAGATATGTTTACATGTAGCTGCTTCTACTTGTTTGCAGTAATCCATGTGTACAACTTTCCACTTACACCTGCAGTTAGACATTACATATACTGCAGGAGAAACCTGCAAAGTCTCTCTTGAGAGATTTATACAAAGATTGATAATTGAAATCTGATAATTTCTGTAAATTCTTACATTTTGGCTTGTGGACCTGCATGGACAATGAGTGCCATGAACTAGTTTACAAGAAATTGTGACCAAATAAGAGCTAAATGCTATCAAATGTACTGTACCAGCTGCCATTGGAATTTACTGCCTTGGCTTCCGTGTCCGTCCTAAACACTTCACTGATTCATGCCACCATATCCGCTTGTACAGACTAAAAAGCATGAGTTGTGTGTCAGACCTGCCTGTTGTGTGATCATGAGACATGCTAAATGGCTGCTCACTGTGACCTTTCATTCAAACTTCTGAATTGTTTCCTTTTGTCATCTCAAGGGAGTCACTCCATGGCTTATTGCTAAAAAGAGATAAGCAGAGGAGAGTAGAAAGAGGCCTTGAAATTTTGGGGAACGCAGTTGCAGCTGCAGGTGGATGGCTTTCAGCTTTGCGGGTCACCTTTGTGCAGAAGGGTCCTACCTGTCGATCAGCATCAGTTTGCCTTGCACAGTCATGAAGACATTGGCAATAGGACCTGCCGCCTGCTTCATCTAGGAGAGGAGTTTGGAGAAGCAGCCAGACTTCACTGTAGCTCGCTTGAAAAGGTTACAAAGATCCTGCAGGGATCACTAGGCAGCAGATGCTGCTGGAAACCAGAAGCTTCTCAACCATACTCACGGTATGTGCTCTACGTATTGTGTTTTAGGACTGCTGAAAGAAGAAGCATTTCTGAGAGGGAGGAATTAGAACATTCTCCTCTGCCAAATAATGGAACCRACTAGCTCTGTAGGTACCACAGTGTGTTCTTTCAGGTGATTCAAGTTACACAGAGTTTGTTGACTTTCTCCACAGTTTTGGAAGCTGTGGTTAATTTTGTTTCATTTTCCTTGTAACAGTTTCCATAAAGGATAAATTTCAATAATCTATTCAACATTTGTGATGATGGCTTTGAAGAAAGTAATTCAGATCATATGTTGGTCTTGTTTCAGTATTAACAGTTTTTCTTTTACAGTTTTTGAAACCTTTAAATCTAAAGAGGTGTTTATTTTCATGTTTCACAGTAGAGTTYTTTTCATTTTGTTCTTATTCTGCTGTTGCAATGACTTTGGTGGACACAGTTACCCAGAAAACACTAGAGAAATGTCCATGTGGTTACTGTTGCACTCTTGTCATCACCGTACACTGTAAAAGGTGTAATTATTTCTCCATTTCTCATCAAGTCATTAGGATTCAAGAGTAACATTGACAACAATTTGCTTCTCATTTTTTAATTACAAGGAGTACTTAATTCATGCACATTTGTAGTTTTTTGCAAGAAGGAATTTTGAATGATTTTGAGTCTTCATATGGTGCACTGTACTTAGTTAAAAGATTAGTTTATGAGAGGGTGTCATATTTAGCAGAAGGAAGTTCTTTTCATATCGCCTCAATTCCTAGTGTACAGCAGGATAATTAAGTTACCTTTCTGAGTGTTATTTTTCGTGTGTTGACCAAAACTAGAGCTGAGGAAGGCAGCTTGTTTCCATCCATGTGTGGGCAGCTTGTCCATCTCTGAATGCACAAATTTCCTTAACAAGTGATTTCTGAGTTGTGAAGATGGGGACCTGCTGTGGTTGCACTTTCCAGCATCTCTTTAGAATCTCAGATCAGTATAAATGCAGCTCTAGGGCTGCTTCCCACCTTGTTAAATGTTGATTGTCACTGTGGAATATCATAGACAAAACCAGCTTTTGCTGGGAGGAAAACCTTACACAACATGTTCTTTTAATSTAAAAGCTACTTTTGAGATCTCTAATAGCACCCTACTAGTAAAAATAAAGTTTCAAAAATAGATGGAAGTTTAAATAGATATATACAGAGAATTTTTAATGGTCAATTTAATCTTTCTCACAATACAAGATTAACAAATGTTCACACATATAAGGAAGAGTATTTTTCTTGGCTTAAACTCACTCAGATATGCAAACTGAACTATTTTGAATAATTGATTACAAATAGTAAAAGCCTTTGTGTCATTTTAGCAATTCTATATTGTAAGAGTCCACAAACACAACTAACTTTAAGAAATATAATTGAGACCTACCAAATGCACCAATTCAAACTAGTGGGACTGATGTCAAAAAATGAGATTTAGATTCATTACTGTGAAATATATTTTTTTACTCCAAAACATCAGTCAAAACCTGGCTTTCCTCACTGACTCCAAGGCCTGACAGAACAAATACTTAAATATATATTTATTCATTTTCTTTTCTGTTTTGCAAAGTAATTCCTGTATTTGACTGCTTCCAGAGAGCAATGCTGTTCATCTCAGTTAATTTATCTTAACTCCCTAAAGCCTCTGTATTGTTTAGCACCATGAAAGGTTAATTCCATTTAAGTTATAGTGGGTGAACAGCAGATATACAATGTAATCTGCCACGTTAAGCTACATATATGGATTTGATATTAACATTTGCATAAAATAATTGCATCACAAGGATTTACTTGAAGTGAAACCCAATGGTATGTAGAAAAGTTGCATATACAAAGTAAGTTGGGTTTAATATTTCATTAAGCACCCTGTGAAGACTTGTAATGTTTATTTTTCTAAAATATATATATATTTTTGGTGCTAGCRTATCTTTTTCTTCTGATGACAAAGCTACAGTTTGAACCACTTGTGTGTTGTTTTCTCTTTTAGTAGTATTCCTCCAACTAGATATGATTTGTTTTGCTTAGTTTGCTTGTTCACTGAAATGTAGTTCCTCTACCAGTCTTTTCAGTTGTAGAAATGTGTCGGTGATATTAGTCTACACAGCTTCTATATCCCTGATTTTTTCACATATGATTAATTTTTGTTCTTTTGAGAGYTTTCAGTATTTTTTGATACCAAGTTTTATAAACATCAGTTTATATGTGTAATATTTACATTTGTGCAGAAGTTCTGCAACAGAAGCAGTAAGTCTATTGAGCACTATTTGGTATATGTTTAAAGCACGTAGTCTTTGTCTTCATATTCATAGATTAGCTATAGGGAATCTTTCTTTCAGGATGCTTTGGACACTTTTTTTTCCCCTGAGGTAAAGCATGAAACAAATTCATGAAACTATAATGTATTTTTTGATTTATATTTTTATTTATTGCTGATTTTGATGTCACTTTCTGATAACTGTAGCAAAGCAGAGTGATGCGCTTCATTCAGCTGTTTTATATTCTTTTTTTCTACYGTGTAAGTATTATGAACAAGTTTCAAAAAGATCAGATTGGGCTATTTGCATCCCTATGAAGCATACAGCTTAAAGAGGGATTACCCTGAAGATTCATGTGCAGTGTGCAGAGTTAGCACTGGCTCCCCTAAGCGCAACAGTAGCAGAAWAGCAGACGCATTAGTGTTTGGTTACTCACCCAGGAAGAGAAGGGGCAGCCCGCCGTGGGGCACCAGCGGGAGCACGGTGCTGTCCAAGGTTGCACACCGGGCAGGAGGCGAGGCTGAATCCTGGGTCCTTCCGAGTTCAGAGAGGCATTCCACTGACTGGGGCCTGGCTGGGCTGCAGTAACTCCAGGGAAGAGATACAGCCTTCCTGTGGAAAGCACTTGGGGCAGGAAGCGAGTGAGGGGTTACACAGTAACAAGGGGAATACTGTCCAATGCTAGTGTTCAGCCTAAATGAGGATAACTTGAGGCAGTAAAAACTGCAAAAAYTCTCAGTGTGATTAAGATGTTACAAGACATGCAGAACGGACCTTTCCTTTCAAATTTCCTTACCTCTGCTGCTTGACCATCTTAAATTACAATTTTAAATCTCARTATGTTACCTGTATTTTCACACTTGAGTGTCACACAAAAGTACTGATGTCTTCAAARGCAGCAATTAAAAAACAGTGTAGTTTTAGACATTGAAAATAATAATTTAACTTCAGTGACCACAACTAAGGCATGTGCTTTGTTTTCTATCCACTACTTGTTATCAGGAAACTGAATGTTGCTGCAACTTGCAAATGATTATTTTCTTATACCCTCTGTTATTTAAATGTTTTACAAGGTAGCAGGACTCACTAAATGATCTTAGCAAAAAGTGCCTGTCACCATCATTTCTGTGACAGAATCTGAAAATGATACTTCACTAAACAAGTGGAATTTGTAGTTTAAAAAAAGGTTTTGAAGTGTTGTTTTTATTTCATTCTGTATTTTTAAATGCATCCAGTTATCAATGCTGCTTTGAAATCAATTTTGTTTGGAAAACAGGGGGCCTTAACTTAACCTGGGACCGTTAGCATTTTACTTGTTTCTATTTAAAAATAAATTGTATAAGTTTCCCAGATACCACTGGTACTTGCACATTTTTTCTGAAGTATTATGAAAAGTTAGGTTGATGGAATAATGTTTTACATACTGTTRACATATATGTGGATATTCTTATATTATTGTACATGTTTGGGAAAATATCACACAACTTGTAAAATGTTACTAAGATGTATGTATCTGGATTTTTCCTTTGGAAAATATTATATATTTTTATTTGTACTTTTTACTTTTTTTAAGTTCATCTATATGTGCAGTTATTTTTATATTGCAAATGGTCTCTTATATGCAGTAGAGGAGATTAAAAAAATACAAAGAAAAGTAAATTGGCAAGAATTACACTGCCTTGGGCGGGGGGGAACAAACACAYGGGTCAGTCAATCCTCAAAATAGAGTGTCCTAACACTACACATATGGCACAAGTAGTGTAAACAACTGTAAACTTTAAGTTATCCATTTTAATTTGTTATTAATTATCAATTCATTGTGGCCGCTGGTCCTGATTTTAATTGAACCTCAGCAAACAGCATGCTTTTGTTTTTATTATTAAAATTTCTCCTTGGTTTTCAGTTTAATACCGTTTTGTTTTCTTTTGAGTTTTGTACTTCAGTATTTGTTTCTTGCTTGTGAGAAGTTGATCTTCAGAATTATTTTTACATTATTTATGATTTATTTTCATAATGTAAAAAGTGTGTAATTATTAAAATATTAATCCAAGTATTGATGCTGATTTGCATAGTTATAAAATTCACTGCTGGTGCAAAAAAATGTTCTAGTCTGTCTGAACTGGGAAAAAAAAAAGTCACGTGTTGTGTTGTGCTAATTTGTAGCTTGAAGTTTAGTGCAGGACATGCCAATTGGTATCCGCTGAAGAAAGGGTCATGAAACAAAATGAGGGCACTTGCAGCATGTTCCTTTTTTCCTACAGCACACAATAAGAAGTAGCTCACTCTTTCTACCCTAATAGACCTTTTCCCTTCAGAGTCAAGTCTGTTCTGTCATCTTTTCTAACACACAACACAAGTGGCAGAGGTCCACAGAAGAAAAGCAAGCTTTCTTACAGCCAGCGATTAGAGCCTCMCCTCACCATAGACAGGTGGACAAAATTGCTAAGGCAAGTCCCCAGGCAGCCTGGCATTCAAAGCCCTAGAGCTGAAAAGCAGCAGTCTATCATTTCTGTAACACTAAAACAAACTCTGTGGGAAATATATATGTACACAGGCACAGTGTATTGAGAATGAGTGTAAACTAGAGAATATGAAATTGTATAAATTTTTTGATTAGAAACAAAATATGAAGCATAATACTTACTACCAAACAGCACATTTTCGAGCACCCCATTTTAAACAGACTCATTTCTGCATTGAGTCTTCCTGAGCAAAGAACATTTTGGGGGAAATCAAAATACTAGGAGCAGTGATAATGTATTCAAAGCATTAGCTAACYGTTCCCAAGATATTTCAGACAGATGCCAACATCCACGTTTTCCTCCCCTCTTTCACTTCAAAATAGCCCGTGCACGGAGCACAGCCACCGAGCGCCACAGGAGCCATGCTGTGCACACGAGGGAGCTGAGCKAGCTGCGCAAGAGTAGAAATCCCTAGTACTCACTTTTGCTGCCCTAGCTATTCTTGGTCTTGTCTCTTTCAGCTTCTCTAGTCCTTCTGGCAGAGRGAGAGGCAAGAGTCTACATAATGCTGCAACTGGACTGTCAAGAAACAAACAAAAACCTGCTTTATGGGGTGTTTTTTTTCTAAGCACACCCTGTCACTTTCTGCCCTTCTGTTTGCTGCAGCTAGCTAAAGCATGCTAAACTGGAGCTACACTAGAAACTCTTCCTGAGAGGACACTTCAGTAACCTTTTCTCTTGCTCATTTAGTTTTCTTTTTTTCCCCAATAACACAGGCCCTCAAAAAGTAAATCTCAGAACCACACAATATGCTATATGTACAGGCTTCACACTGTTCTGTACCTGTGTTTACACTGCTTTGACTCTCCTCAGGAGTTCCCCATTACCCAACTAGCTGGGTCAGACTCCTGCAGCATCCTGGAGCCCATGCAGGGATGGGCATGAAATGCCTACTACATTATTCCCCCCCCCCTTTTTTTTTTAGAGTAGTCCTTTTTAATTAATTAAATAGCTAAGGTTACCATGYACCTCCAGCTCTAAGCTTCGCATGCCTACCAGCTGCCCAGCTAATCCTTAGCTATTTGAAATGAGGGTATAGAAGTCACAAAAATACAACAGTATTTCTGTACTCATCTCATATAGCTGTCTAGTGATTCCATTACCATACACAACTAACCATTTTAAATAAACAACAAGCAGCTGACAAGACATTCATGTTACAGCTGGCACAGCCACACCCAAATAAATAAGTATGTAAAAGAATAAAACAGTAAGTCACGTTCTGACAAGCAGAAAGTGCTCTGTATCCCCGCTGTTACTGTCCCCATTTGGTTGACTTCTGCTAGCTTCCAGACTGCAGCACTAATACCACTTTCTCCTCTCTCTTTTGCCTGTGTTAGAAAAATACACTGCTTTTACAGGGACATGCTAATCAGAAACACCGAGTAACCATAGGCTCCTCCTCCTGGCATTGCTCCTTGCTTCCACATGCAACTAAAACATGCCTAGCAACTTTTTGCAAACTTTTGGGAGAGAGACCCTCTCTGTAGCATATTATGATTGTTGTGGGAAAAAAAAGGGTTGGGATAAACCTAAGACAAACTTCGCAACCAAAATGCATGTACTATAACAACACACRTACATAAATCTCACTATAATTAGCTTGTCAAAAAAAAAAAAAGTCTATGTAGAAACTCACCACTTAAAAAGCTGGAAACACAAACACTGTTGGCACAATCARCACTGAAATGATTCTCCACAAAAGTTACTCAGAACCCAGCCAGGGTGCAAACAGTCCCAGAAGGCACCGCTCAGGAAATACCACACTCTTGGCTCTTCTCTACACCAGCCAAGTATTAAGCATCTGGTGCTCCAAGCGCCGCAGCCCCTTACAGGCAGATAAAGCCACCCAGTGAACCCCAGGACTCACCAGAAACATGAAGCGRGAAACCAATTCCATCAGGCTCAGCACCAGCCACACACCCCTCTAAGAGCCCAACCTCAATGAGGAGCTTTTTATAGTAAATGTGGAGCAGCTGATTACCCCTGCAAAAGAGCAGGTGGGTGTGGGATGCCTGTCCTTACCTTTTTGCACTGAAAAGGATCTTCACAGCGGAACATTTACCATTCACCAGCTGTGACTGGTCCACTTCTCAAGCAACAATGGCAATACATTATTTTTCATACATATATAATATGGACATATATACATATTCATACATATTACATATAAAGTGACTCTAGCCCCTTAAGGAAGAGTTATCCTATGTCCTTAATAAGGAGAGACACCTTCCTTAAATAACCTGAATAGCTCTTAGAAACCTTTACCTCTTTTCATCAGCCATACTGGGAGCCAGACTGCTCATTGCTGGTACCCGGCTACGAGGTAGCCAACCCTCAAATAAGGACAGAAAGAAAAGCAATTAAGATGCTCAAAAAGGAAAGAGAGTAGAATGGAGAAAAGATATGCTAAATTAAAAAAAAAAAAAAAAAAAAAAAAAAAAAAAAAAACAAAAAAAAACCTGTTCTAATAATTCTCTGGCTTCTGGGAAATAGTGGTTAGTGCTTATTCCATGGTGTTACTTGGGCACGTTAGGCAAAGATTTAAGAAACCTAAGCAAAAGAAGTCCTGGAAAGCCTGTGTATCAGGTGACTATGATATTCCACAATCTTTTCTCAGCAGTCAGTGAGACTGATGAGAGACCTCATCAGCACTAACCTGGCAAGCTTTCCCTGCTGATGGCACCAAAAGAACATGTACAAATCATGAGTCATAAGGGTGCCGGAGGGGGAGGGTCCTTGCTTGCTAGTGTGTTTCCATGGCTAAGTTAATTTCATGTTAGTAGCTTCCCATGACGGAGAAGCTGCTTTGTGGCGACTTATTTAGCTCACACACCAGTCTGAGCTTTCCTGATGAACTCATAGAATCGCTTCTTCAAGCAATTGCATGCGTAACTGAACAAGTTTTAATGTGCTAACTCCTGGAACRGAAAACCCTGCTTTAAGCAGTGCCGGCTGCCGATATACGTTTGTGCTGCCTGTCAAAGGAGTGAGAGCMCTGCAGCTAACACATCTTTCACAGCCACCTGTGGCCTGGGCAAGAATCACGGGACAGGATACGCTGCAGAAATCTTTCAGCACTGATAGTCCCAGCAGTCCCTGGCGAGGGCYGCAGATGTCCTCGCGGCCAACAGGGGGCAGCCATGCACAGAGCGGGAGGAAAAGCGTTTGTCCTTAAATGCCTTCAGGGTCATTCACAGACCTGCAGTGATTCACTGTTCCCCCCCACCCCGGYCCCCCAAATGCCCCAGTGCTAGTACTTTCTTACAGTTTTTTACAAAGGGCCTTCAGTTAGGTCCAATACCTAATGCATCTGACTCAAACTACACCACTAACCAGCTTTTCCAGCTATGAGAAAACCAGGCAAAAGTGTGAAGTGCTGCAGACAGAATTCCTGAGAAGTCTAAGGCTTGACTTGGATGTTAGATCTAAAAAAAAAACGCCTGGTCTCTTCTTGAAACTCACTAATGCATTCCAATGTGAGCCCAAAGGAGGGTGCTGGTCACCCCGTCCAGTGTGCCAAGCCCTTTGCCTGGCTGTGACTCTGAGAGAGAAGCTGCCWTTCAGCTGGGACAAGGAGGCTGGTTGCTCACGGTGCTGGGAGTGCTGCAAATGCTCGCACTTACCTGGCTCTTACATAACACGGAGAGCTGACATTCCTGATGAAGSAGGGATGTAGGAACATGCAAGCAGCTAAGTTTCAAAATTAACGTTGTCTGAAGAAGCAAAGGCGCGAGAATAGACCTGTGAAAGAAGAAACATTGGTGCTATAGGCTAGATCCAAACACAGCGCTGCAGGTAGCAGGAACACAGAGCGCAGGTTTTGCTGCTGTCAAGGAGTAGCCTCCAGTGAGACACCGGGGGCACAGGTTGGTGAGAAGGGAGGAAAGCTGAGCTGCTCCCCCAAGTGTTTCACCTGACATTTGGAAATGAGATGCACAGCAAAATGAAAATCAGCCACTCATCCTAAGAAAATGCTGCCTTCGTTTTCTCATGACCTTTTGCTTGCTAACATTCCCCACAAAGTAAGAAATTCAACAAGGCGTTCACTGCCCTGCAATCTTCTGTGTTTTGCTGCTGTACAGTTAGTAATAGAGAATTTAGGCAGCACACGGAGGAACACGGCTGGCGGCTGCCGCCATGAGACAACTGTCAAGGCAGAATGACTCCAGCCTGTAGAGGCAAGCCCCCCTTACCAGCAACCGCAGGCTGTGCCCGCATGAATCCAAAAAAACATGTGGGGTGGAGTCTGGAAGGAGGGAGGAAAGGAGGAGTCTAGCTGCAGCATAAAACACTGCGGCTGGTGGAGCAGCACAGGCAGGACGGCAGGATGGGGGAGCCCTACAGCAAGGCAGAGACCCTGGCGCTGCGGAGGAAGTACATCGGGTAGGGGTGGCCCCGGGAAGCGCTGGGCTGGGGGCCAGGCACGGGCTGTGGCTGCTGAGGTGCCCGAAGGGGCCTCCGGGAGGCTTTGCTGCTGTGCTGGGGGGACCATGTGCATGTGTGTGTAACCCAGTAGGACCGACATGGCACAAACTGTAAATTTTGGCTAAGGGTAAAAGTGAAGATGACTTTTTTCCATAGAGGTTCAACCCAGAATTTTATTTGATAAGTCAGGCACCAAGCTTCAAAGCAGAAGCAGCCCAAGTGCATGCGCAGGGTGCCTAGCCCACCGAGTCAGGGACCGCAATGGGATCTTGCTCACCTTTGAAGTGGGGACGGATTCAACACATCTTGGGAGGGGATGGAGGAGGGAGCTGTCAGGAATTACGTGCTCCATAGCCAAGGCGTGAGCACTGAACCACCTCAGTATATTCTGTTTCTGCTGCAAATCAGCTGAGAGTGTCTGTATGAAATCTGAGACATCGCAGCTAAGCAGCAAGTCCACATGGTAGTGGCTGAAAGAGAAAGAAAGTAACAAGGAAGCTCTTTAGTTTGCCATTCTGATAGCTAGATCTTTGGGCCACTACTAATATCAGGGGAGGGAAATAGAGTCACTTACTTACAGCACATAAAAAGCTATTTCATTTTTCTAACAGAGATGATAGCAGAAGGAAAACAGAATATGGTGTCTGGACATACTTTTTCTAAATGCTACTGGCATAGTAAGTTTGTGAGGAAACTGAATGCTCTTGAAAAATACATTTCTATGTTACATGGAGCTCAGGAAATTTCTTGGACAAAGATAATTGGAGGAAAATCAGGGAGGTGCAGTTTTGATCTGAACAACGATCATGGCTATGCATATACTCGATCCTTCATTATTGCAACACTATTTCCTCCAGAAGGGGCAATTTTAATTCCTACATCAGAAGGAGTTGACACACAAAAAATAAGTCCAGAATGTTAAAGCTACTGCTGCTTGTTTGCAAGTTCTGGCTTAAATATGTAGCCTATGTAGAAAACTAACTAAAGATTCATAAAAAATCAATGGCTTCAGAAATCATGCATATTAAGTTACCTTTTGGGGCCAGCTGCACATTAATGAAGTCTTGCCTGGCAAGGATGAAAATGCCGGGCTATGCTGGGCACRAAACAAGAAGCTCTCACAGAAAGGACTGACACCTACAAGAAAACTGTAGTCAAGAAACTACCCTTGAGGACCATGTGTGCCACTTCTTCTAAAGTGCAGCAGAGGAGTTGTCGAAGATGTCAGAGAAAATCTGTGCAACAGGGCTAGAAACTGCAAGAGAAGGCACTCAACTCCCTTGAAATCACATTCAGCCTCTGTAGTTGACAGTCTCAATACACCATACAACATTGCTGCAATTTCAGCATTAAGTTACTTGAAAACACCTATGTTTATCTGAAGGCATATAAACATTACAAAAAGTTCAGAACTCTTTCCTTCTGCTCAAAAACATCATTCAACATAATAATATAGCCGGAACACAGTGTTTTGTTYTTGAATATGACCTCTAGAGTGCACAGCCTCCCATTACGTAACAAATTTTTGGCTATAGCATAAAACAATTCCTAGCAGCTTCGTTCTATTCCTGGAACATTAATTGATTACACATGCTCGTGAGACATTTAAACAAACAGAACTACATCCTAGAGACATAGGCGGATATGTAAGGCCAAGGAATGGCTTGCATTCATTGTGCTCCCATGAAACTATTTAAAAGTCTGAATAAAGATTTGAAATCACTCTTATCAAAAGACCTACTTCTGTTGCTACAGGGGTGCTGGRCAATGTTTCTTACTTCAGGGGCAGCCCCGCTTGCCCACCCTCTAAGCCACTCACAAGCTCTTTGCAGACAGAGGTGGTCATCTCCTAAGCTGCAAAAGATAAGCCTGCTTAACATTCAAGGCAGGAGGGAACCAGAGAGAGAACTACAACAGTGTTCTTCCATGCATTTTTTCAGGCCTTCCTGCAAAGTTTTCTTTGCCAAGGACCCTCTGAAGATAGTGCGTGCTCATGGCCAGTACATGTTTGATGAGAATGGGGAAAAATACTTAGACTGCATCAACAACGTTGCCCATGGTAAGCAGTTTAGCTTGTAAGACTGCTTGCTCTATTGCTGGTGTTTCCATTGTTTCTAATGGGAATCATAAGACACTCCTTCCAAGTGCTGTGGGTTCACAGCACTTCTCTCTATCKCCTTGTGCAGCTCAATAACTAACTGCTCGCTAGTAATAATTAATCATTTTCTTCTTTAGTTGGTCACTGTCATCCGCATGTGACAAAGGCAGCCACAAAACAGATGGAACTGCTCAATACCAACTCTCGATTCCTGCATGACAATCTGGTTCAGTATGCTCAGCGTCTCACAGCTACCTTGCCAGAGAAACTCTCTGTTTGCTATTTTGTTAATTCTGGGTATGTCAGAGCATCTATTTTTTCTTTATGACCATTTTGTGCCTGTTTAAGATGGACACTCAGAAAAACTTTGTCTAAATCTTAAACTGAGAAAAGCAGAACTTAGTGAAGGCAACCAAAGTACTTCTCATACTGATTAAAGGATACTCTGTAGCTGTCATGTCACAACTCAAGAGAACAAGAACATAAGGCTGGTCTGCTGTGTGCTATGCAAAAAAGAGGGGAAGAAGTAAATTAGACTCTACAAATAGGTGTCTGTACTATTTGTACAAATACTATGTGTTAACTGACATAGGCCTTTCTAAGGAAGGAGTACTACTTGTCTACAATCACTTGCTTTGCCAAAGCAGGTAACCTGTACGAACGTGAGCAGAGCGGGCCTGCTACGAGTAAGGTTTAAAATCGGGTTCATAGTATTGAGAGCAGGTTTGTGCCCACAGCTACCTGACGGAACAAGCTCTGAGACTCCAGGCTTTGCAGAGGGTAGGAAATGCTGCTGGTACAGGCTGGGGTTGTGCAGTTGTGTTGTTCTCTCAGCTGCTGCCTGCTCTCTGAAGCAGTCTCGTTTGTACCAAGAGGAGGTAGATTTCCAGTAAATAAGTAAACAGGGGGAAGGAAATAAAGCATCTCTTTGTTTGCTGTTCATACAAAGGGCTGTGTTTACTCCCTCTGTACAGAGCATTTCACAGCCTCAACCCCAGCCTTCTAATCTGTGCACTAATAGAGTCTGCTGTGTTGGTTGGTTAAGTCCATCCCTCTTCTGTATTAGAATAAAAATTTTATAGAAGGAGTTTGCTCACACTTTTATGGATGCATGGTCCTCTAGCATCTGTTGTTACGCAGGTCTGAGGCAAATGATCTTGCTTTACGACTGGCTCGGCAGTACCGCGGGCACCAAGATGTCATCACCCTTGACCAGTAAGTGCCCAGCACAGCTTATGCAGGTGYACAAGCAATTGCTGCCATTGCTTCAGAAGGGGCTTTGCAAGGGGCTTTGAGGTAGACAAGCTGCCTGCTGCTTGTACTGTACAGCCCACGGAAAGAAAAGCTTTGGTGCTCTGCTTCCTACTAGGACAGGTCACAAAGCAGTGCTCCTACTTCACATCTGGTCAAACAGAAGTTTTCAAGATTGCTGAAAAAAGCTTGTCAATCACCACACAAGGCCACTCACCCATTACAGAGCATTTCCCAGAGACACCCCAAATGTTAGCTTCAGTCACGTGGCTCTGCACTGAGTGGTTCTGCACTGTTTCGAAGTGAGCTTTCTGGCTGTCTTTGCTAGAAATGTTTCTTTTGTGCAAATAAATATATATACAATGGTCTAGAAGAAAGATTTTGCAGTTCTGCAATAGTGCTGATAACCTGCTGCACCAACATTCAGCTCTCCTCCAACCAAGACATAAACACCCAGGCAAAACCAAAAGGTTCCAAAATCAGGAGGAACCAAGAGCCACAGTGAAGGCTGTGAAGGCTCTCGAGCAAGTCCCTGGGCTTCTCTATTCCAGAGGCAGTCCTTAATGCTGGCTACACTGGTGAGGTCTGGATCTTTTCCTCACACTGGGATCGCAGATGGCAGGAAGAAAAGCTGCAGGACCATGTGTCTCTGAGCAGCCCATGGCTCTGGATGAATCAGYCAGATCCCCATTAGCCCTCCTTGGCTCACACAGCAAGTCTTGGGGTTAATGACAGTCACTGCAGACAGAAACAAACTGATGAGAGAGYTGGCTTAGTCATTTTCTCTAATTGCAAAGTCTTGTCCTCCTTGAACACATAGGTATCTCCTTGCCCARGATCCAAGACTCTGTAGTCCAAGCCAGTGGACTTTCTGGCCCTTCTTTGTATCCACTGACAGATTTTAAAAGCTGTAAATAAAAGGAGGCAAAAGTATTTTCTCTACCCATATGTATGTGTTACTGTAAAAGATGACGACATGCCTTTGCTTTGGATTGAGATCACATTTGCTTCAAGCTTATGGCTGCATTAAATTGTTTATTCCTTGGACTAAATGACCTACAACACATCCCTTCACAAGCAGTGCTACTGTATTGCAAATACAGTCTCTTATGTTTGATTATTTATGGACACAGTTGTAAATTTAGCTTTTCCATAAATTTAGTGAAAAGTGACTTTGATATTTCATACTCATGCAGTGCTTACCATGGCCACGTTACCTCTCTGATTGACATCAGTCCCTATAAATTTAATCAGCTGGAAAAAGATAGCAAGAAGGAGTTTGTTCATGTGGTAAGTGTGGGGTTTTCACCTTTTGTCATTCTTATGCTTGTTATGCAACAATTACCAACTTCTAATGTGAATGTACTTTTATTCAGTTTGGCTTTTATCAAAATATATACTCCTTTCTGATTATCAGTGGATTAAATACAGCAAAATTGTTTGCTTTTGGATTTCTACAAGAGATTTCTTTAGCTATGAGGCTTAATTCCTGGCTAGTGATACATGATTCCCAAGTCATTGCACTGTACAGTTGCTCAGTTTAAAAAAAATAGACAATATCTTTTGCTGTCAATGATGGTAAAAACAGAGCTCACATATACACAGAGACCCCTGGGTACAGAGGTTATGGATATCCAATTCATCAGCCTAATCTTACAGAAACAAAAGAGTTATACACAATCCTTTCCCTTCTAGATTTCTGCACACGTCCAGAGTAACCCCTTTTTGTATTCTTTCCTCTTCTTTAGCTCCTGAACCTCTCCTAACACCATTTACCAGTTGCAGAAAGGGATCTTTCTGCAAGAATCAAACATAAGRTCACAGATGAGCGCTGCTATTACAGGCTGAGGGAAAGGAGGGAGGGTTTGAAAAGGTTATTTGAGCCAGACGGCTCTTTCACTGCCTGTGGCCTGTAATGTTGAAGACGCCACAGGGTGTGTGAACACACTACAGGGTTCAAGTTTAAGATCCTATAAATACTTTGTGCAGTTCGCTGTAAAAACTGAGAACGTGCTAACTCTAATATGTATTTGTGTGAAAACATAGAACTATGTCCTGCTCCAAAACCATAGAGGAATATATATGTATAAAACAAAAGAAACAAAACAAAGCCAAAACCAGAAAGTAAATGTTTGCAGAAACAAAGGCTTGCTTTTAGAAATTTTGTTTTTTTTCAGGCTCCCTCTCCAGATATCTACAGAGGAAAATATAGGGAAGATCACCCAGATCCAGCAAGTGCTTATGCTGAAGAGGTGAAAAAGATTATTGAACAAGCACAGAAGAATGGGCGCAAGGTACATGTTTTGTCCTCTAAAAATGCTGAAACAATCTATTTAGGGTACGAGGGGCATGAAACAGTAGATAAAGGATATGTTTCTCTATGCTTACTTTCCATTGCTTTCTCTTATCTTTCATTTTTCTGAGGGACTCTATATTCAAAATGTGTCTTTTTCTTAACCTCATGCTCTTACCATAATTTTTCTAGGCATCAATGAAAATGGTAAGATAGAATTGATAATACAGTTATAAATTAGTGTATGAAACCAAAATCAGCTTACTTCCCTATTTTAGGTTTTGAATCAGGAGATTATAAATATTTTATAGCATAGGCAAGCTTTGAAGTTAGCTATGAAACTACAACAAAAGTTTTAGCAAGGAGATATATATATATATATATATGTAAAATGACTCAGCATATTGAAAAATACGCTAGCTAGATAAAATCTTAATACTAGGTTTCTCATTCTATTTGCTTAAGACATCTTTAGATTCAGCTAGAAAGGATACATACCTTTCAACCATATGCAAGATAATCTTGATAAAAAAGAGATACTCTCTGGACACCTTTACTTAAGATGTGTGTTAATGTTTGGTAGGATGACACTAGCATTTTGAGACCTGAAGGGCTTTTTTCAAAGCCCACTGAAGTCAGAGAAGACTTCAATGGATACTGGAACAACATGTTCCCTTCTAGTTCAATGGACTTATAACACTCTTCTTTTAAATTCTTCAGCTTTTTTTTTGTTCTCTACTAACGGATAGTTTTGTCTTTTTTCTTCCTTTGTTTCCTTTCTTTCACATATTTCTTAGGTTTTGGTGACATATACCTGTGGCAGGACAAGCTGTGCCAAAGGCTAAGCCTCACCTGCTATGGGAAGCTTCGTACTCTTTGGCCATAGCATGCCTCTTCAAATATAGTGTACGGTTCTTTACACATTACTGCTCGGCCTTGTTTCCAGGAAGACTGCGCCAGCCCAGAGAGACCTGTTGATGCACAGGGAGGGGTTCACAAGTGGTGTGGGATGCAATCACTTAAATAGCAGACTTATGCTGACAATTTGGGGTAATATCGTATCTCTGCTGCATAGACATGTTTAAAAGAAGCCAAACTGTTCTGTTCCAGTATTTGATCCGCTTCTCTTGCCCTTCCTGACTTGAAATAACTGTCTTTTTCATTCCTAGCAACTGGAATTATTTCACCTGTAGAATTTTCTTCTCTTTTGTCAAGTGCCTCATGTTGACAGCGTACTGGTTTGGTTGTCTGCATTAGGCAGGGGTGCCCAAAGCATAGCCTCAGGTCATCTTCCAGTCCAGGTTCTGACCATCTCTTCCTGCCATTGTAGACTGACTATAAAGCTGACCACCACATACACCTATTACCAGAAAGCCTTGACATTAAGCAAGTTTTATTCACCTCTTGGGGAAAATGGCAAATACCATTACATGCTTCTTGTAAATTCAAATTTGTTCATAAATTTACAGAGATGCTAGGAGCCTGATGCAATATTCACTGATACCAGTAAGCATCTTCAGCATCAACAGCTGTAGGAACAGGATGTAACTAAGGTTCCTAAATTCCTTTTAGGCTGCAAAAGTGGCCCTGGCTACTGCAAATTTGGGCACCCTAGATTAAAAGACAAATAAATTCTCTAGCTATAGCTATTCTTAAACTGTCCAACCCATGTGTGAGTAAATTAAGACACACTTTAAACATTTATTCCTAGACAGTTAAAATTTTGTGTAAAGGCCAAATAAACAAACACAGCTCTTACCTGAATTTGTTTTTTGTAGATTGCTGCCTTCATAGCTGAATCCATGCAGAGCTGTGGAGGCCAAGTAATTCCACCGGTGGGCTACTTCCAGAAAGTGGCACAGTACGTACAGCACTTCAAAATGGGCATAACTGGAAAATTAACCAAAGAAACAATTTTCACTGCAGGCTTATCTAGTCACTTCAGCTATCTCCCACTCTTATTCTTAGTTATCTGTGACTTCTTTCTACTTTTGAAGAGTAAGATTCCACTTCTAATTTTTATGGAAAATCAGCTGAGTGAAAATAAAATTATTTTAGCTGGATAATTATCTTTCCTTTTCTATCTTTAATCCTCGGGCATAAATTTGATGGAAGATGAAGTTGAACCATGAGAGAGGTAGCCCTGCAGTACCATTATAGTTCCTCTATTTTGCATCAAAATATCAGATTTTTTTTCTTAAATTTTATGAACTAAATGTATTTTCATTGAAATTTATAGCTATGCTTGTTAAGTTTCCAATCACAACTGGATCATTCCATCTCCACATTGTCACATAAAAGCAAAACTTTGGCTTGAAATGGAGTCATTTTAAATACAGTCATAAAAAACAGATGTGGATATTTGTATCTTTAGAATTAACAGTAGGTTCATTCAGACCAGAGTAAGAGCCAGAACAGTAAAAGTCTCAAGTACTATAGCAAAGGAAATCTGTAGTCCCTCCACTTGTGACCCAGAGCTCAGAATATCSTTGAGAGCATCCCCTTTCCCAGCAGCAAAGGGAAAAAAATACTCTTAAAAAAATAAATACTCTTTTAAAACTGACTGATAGGATGCATGCCTGGGGCTTTGGCCCCATGAATAACTTCTGAACACAGTTGTCAGGATTACAGTATGGAAGTTCAGCACTGAGGTTATGTTTCAGGAAACAAGATCTTTCCTTTTTTCCCTAAGCTGGTCTTGTATCTGAGACTTTCTGTAATATAAATTCCCTCGTTCTACACTAGCTACTTGAGACCAGGTATGCAGTTACTCTTTTGAACTATTCTGTTTGTTTTCAGATATGTGCATGCAGCTGGTGGCGTATTCATAACTGATGAGGTCCAAGTTGGCTTTGGAAGAGTTGGGAAACATTTTTGGGCTTTTCAACTGCAAGGTGAAGACTTTGTGCCTGACATTGTTACCATGGGAAAACCCATTGGCAATGGCCACCCTATGTCTTGTGTAGTCACAACAAAGGAAATCGCAGAAGCTTTTGGTGCCTCGGGATTGGAGTATTTTAATACAGTAAGTTTCTAGATTAAGGTTTCTCTCTTCTTTTTACTCTGATCTACATTTAATGGCTGTACAAGTTGTTCAGTTCATAGGGTTAGAGATAAGAACAGTCTGGCAACACTTGTATTTAATTCCAGTGGGCCTAGTTCTAGTGTATTTAATTCTAATCCTGGTGGGCCTCATGGTGCAGGTGGCACCTCACAAGACAGTGACCCTGTCTTGTGCCAGGAAGCATCTGAGCTGCATGCCTACTATAAAGCAGCAATTCTGTTCTTGTTTATTGAGTCCTCTTTTACCAACTGGAACTGAGTCTTCCTACCAGCTACCATGAATTCCCCGTTTTCAGTTACGGACCTATTTGCATCACTTCACCAATTACTGTTCACATGAGCACTCTGCCCACAGATGAAATGAAGAAAGCACTTCAAAAAGCAAAGGGAACTGGGCTGCACCCATCCTTCCCTCATGAGCTGCTCACCACAAAATCATCCCTTTGAGCTTTCCCCACTCATGCCAAGCTGCAGAGAGTGAGGGAAAACTACAAGGACAGTCACAGATGAGTGTTTCTGATGGGTTCTGTGTTTTGTTTTCCTATTTCTCTTCACGATCAGTTTGGAGGCAATCCAGTGTCTTGTGCTATTGGTTTAGCTGTATTAGAAATAATAGAAAAAGAAGATCTCCAAGGAAATGCTACTCGTGTAGGAAATTACCTCCTAGAACTGCTGACTGAACAGAAACAGAAGCATCCCTTAGTGGGAGATATCAGGTATGTGCCTCTATGTTCTCACTGTTTCAAGGAGAACAACACTGTGATAGAAAAAAAGAGTTTGGGGGGCACAGAACAATCATGTCACAATCATACTGTCTTCTTGAAACTGGACTGCTCAAAACTCCTACCATAAGAAAACTAATTTTCTAGTAAAAGTTTCCATTCATCTAGTTAGTTAGGATGTAACTAACTAGTTCAAATCCCTGGTCCATTTCATTTGGACATACTGTGGGTGTGGGTTTTTCTCATCTCAGGTTAGTACCAGGATGACAGCTATGACTTGTTCTGGATAAGTTTCCCCATCAACTAAAAGACAGTCACCATGACAGATAATTAGCAACGCCATAAATGTTAGGTTCTTGTGGTTTTGTTTTGTATTTGCTTTTCCTTTTTAAAATTGTTTTTGATCATCTGCTTTCCACAGCATCATAGCTTAATGTTGTCAGGATAAGAAGCAAAGAAAAGCTGTCATTCTTAAGTGTCCAAGTAACCTTAGTGAGTCATCTAGATTTATTTATCCAGAAATATCTGTTATCCCACTTGAACATCTTAAGTGGTTATTGCCAGAATGGAAGTGGCAACTGAAGTGAAGAGAGGAAATGATGCACCTACAAATGCACAGCGCAAAAGACAAAACAGATAGTCTAGTCTCTTTCTCACTCCTTTCCTTTTTAGGCCCCCAGAATGGAAATGCAGTTGTTATATCTGTATTTGTAGCAGAAAGCTTGGATTGCTGACAGTGGATTTTAAATTTCTCCCCTTCTGTACTGTAGGGGTGTTGGATTGTTTGTTGGAGTAGATCTGGTGAAGGATCGGCAAAAAAGAACACCAGCCACAGCTGAAGCCCTTCATCTTATTTACAAGTAATTTTTTAAGACTTTCATAGCAGTTACTCATTAACTTCAGTCTATATCTGTGTAACTTTTGATAGCAAAGTATTAGAAAAAGCAAAAAAGATTGATTTTTAACTGGCCTGAAGTGTCTGGCAGAACACAACATAATTTTGTGCCTGTGTTTTACACAACTGTTTACTTTTTCCACAGGCTGAAAGAACAGCAAATCCTTCTTAGTGCAGATGGACCCCACAGAAATGTACTAAAATTTAAACCACCGATGTGTTTCACTATGGAAGATGCAAAACACGTAGTAGACAAAATTGATGTACTTCTTACAGGTATATATGCTTTCCAAAGCATCTGAACCCCTGTACCACAGCTAAGCTTGTTGATTTCACTCTCTTCCCAAAATATTCAAAAGCTACAAAATCCTGGTATCAATCACACTTTCCCAAAATAACATTTTAGGAAGTATTCATTTTCCTGAATTATTCTATTCTGTAATAAATGTATARGAAAATAGTTTATTAGCTATTTTTGAACCCCAGACAGCTATTAAGCAGACTTTACACTTTTCCTGATTTTTTTTTTTTTTTTTAAAGAATTGGAAGCGGCAACTGGAATGAAGACAGCAAATGACGCATCTACAAATGCACAGAACAGAAGAAAAGTATGTCTTGAGTTTTTTTCAGATTCTTAATCAAATACATGATGGGGAATGCAAGTATGAGTGGCTTTAGTAGAACATGTCTTCATTTTTGGTGGTGTGAGCAGTTCTATGCATKGAAACCAAGATTATAATGTGATCTCTTAAAAGCAATGCAAGGGAATTGTGTTACTGGGGCAAATCTAAAAAGAGCTGAGCAACAGAGACGTAAAACAGGAAACATTTTATAGACAAGCCCATGGCCCCAGGTCAATGGCAAGCAAGAGAAACCCAGTCATGAGACTACACACGCTTGCGAGCTAAGCAGGCCACAATGATACCAGTTCTGGGTATGAAGCGCTACTGAGGCATGCTTGGCTCTCCACGTAAGTCCACAGCCTGGAAGGCCCCCAAGCTTGCAGGCTCTTCCAAGGGGTTTGTTTCCACTGTAGGTCTGTAACTGTGACTGGCTGCCATGCATCCAAGCCAGGACTTCTTAGGTTGCAGCATCATGTTTGGATAAATCTTATGTAATTTCTCACTCCTAAAAATATGCATCACAGCTTGGGTTTTCCAAATGCTTGCTGAGCTGGTGTTTGGAAAGTTTTCCAGGGATGCCATGAATGGCAAAAAACTGCAATAGCTCAACTGCCTGTGGATGGAATAATTGAGGCAGAGATCCTGTGGATTATTGGCTCTCTAAATAATATTAKATTTGGGGTGCAAAACTCCTCTTACACAGAGCTGTACATGCTTAGTTCAGTCCCACTGAAGTCCAACCATTATAAGAAGGTGTAAGACAGAACTAAGTTTAATAGCAACCTATTGAAAGAAATGTTCCTTCACTGACGTTTCGTGTACCTTCATTGACATTTCATTTGTGTTTCAGGTAAATGAAGGAAATTCCCAAATGCAGTCTGTTAATGAAAGCATTGGCCATATCAATGGAGCTGCCTGCAGACAAGAAAATGGTTTTTACTCTGATAAACACTCAGTGCCAAGTAAAAGAATACAAACATGAAGATGAGAAACTTCCATCTGCAGTTTAAAATTGCTTCCTGTTTGCTATTGAGACAACGAGTGCAATAGTCTGAGTCCTATAATCTGTCTGAAGCCTGGTCCTACTTTTCTTAAACAGTTTACATTCCTACTAGGTTCATTAGGAATTTAAAATGCATTTTTCAGACACATGAAAACTGCACCACAAACACAGATGTGACAGAACTGACATGTGATACCTAATTTCAGTTCCTCGGTGCTGACTAAAGGTTTGACATAGGCACAAAACACTCAGTGAAATCTGTGGATTTACCAATGTTACACAGAACCTGAACCACAGCTTAATTACCATGCAAGCACCTATTAACCTATTATGCTTAACATGCTGTTTTTAGAATGTTTTAAATTTCAATATGTAATATTGAGATGTTAATTATCTCCCATGTTTTAATGGCTCAATTCACAAAACAGTGCTTGAGAGGGAAATCATTTTTATCTTCCAGTGTGGCTTCAGGTCCTATGGACCKTATTCCCAGCTGATGTAGATTGGTGTAGCTTTGTTAATGGCAATGATGCTCCACCAAGATCTACCACAGAGTGCAGAGAGACACAATGTTTATGCAAGGCACCCTCACTTCCTGTTCAGAGGAAATGAAGAATTTGGATCATAATTTTCTATGGATAAAGCAACTTTTATACATGACTATTTATACAGAGTAAGATTTTATGAATCTTTTTGAAAGTTTATATATTGAACCTTCTCAGTTCACAAAATATGCAGGCAGGGTACACATAATTTCAGATACACTGGTTGATTTTTGTCTGCAGGTCTCTCAAAAATGAGGTTCCCAGGGACAGCCTGACTCACACTCCTCTGGCTTTCAGATGTTTTGAAAGTCAAAGGAACTACTGCCTCAACCTTTCCCAACAGCGCTGCTACTTTTCATCATTGCAGATGAAGAGTCACCTCCTGGTTGCACGGGATCCTGATATATAATTGGCTATACTAATTTTGATAGACTACTTTTATGAGGGGACCACCAAATAGCATAGGCATGAAACTGCTTTGCAGCCTCAATCTAGCTGTGCTGCAGATACCTTCAACTTCCTTGCAGCCTTGTTAGTGCTAAATTTCAATGAGAACAGTCAAGCCCTGCTTTTTTAAACGCATGTCCTCACTCTAAGAAATGGACTACGGATTTTACAAATGGTATGTACTTCAAGGAAAAGATAAAAATATATCTCCTGCTTAATTTTCCTATCCCAAGTTCTGCTCTTTTGTAATTGCTGCTCCAGACTCTATTGATATGACTGAAAATTGAGCACCTTACCAAGCTTTGTATTGTTCACCACTTGCCATAGTAATGTTAATGTGTAACGGTGTAACTTCTTCCAACACTGTCAGGCTAGCTTATTTTCTATTTCATGATTTTTACTAATTCCCTCAAATAAACCTCTTACTTGTAATTAAGAAGTTCTCCACAAATGCATTTTTATTCAAAAAAAAAAAAAAAAAAAAAAAAAAAAAAAAAAAAGAAAAGAAACCACTTTATTCTAGTGCCCTCAATGCCACAGCAGGCATAGGCTATGCTACGCAAGCAACTCTTACCCTCCAAGCTAGACATTGCCTCAGCCGCTACAGTTCTGTTTCTTTTGTGGTCACACTATGAAATGGACTGGAATCCTGATAACTCTTAACTAGAAAGGGCAGCAGGATATAACTTTCAGAACAAAACTACATGAAGAGCTAATTTGGAAGAGAAGGGGGATTTTCTTCAGCCTACACAATCCACTGAAAGACTAACCTGTCACAAGCATACGAAAGGCAGGTTGCGGTGGCACTTTAAACTGCACTAAACTGAGTCTTTAAAGCATAAGTGCATATTACAGAGAGAGCCATCTAACCCATTTCATTCCTTTTCTTCTGGAGAACACCTGCTTTTCCCAAGTGCTACACTGCTTCCTACCATGGTGCACATCCAAAGGCTCATTCCTTGCTTGGACTATTGGCTACTTACATTATACCTCATCCAAGGTGTGCAAAACAAGCAGCACATAGGCTCTGCTAGCAAATGTTGGAGAGTTAAGCTCAAAGGAGAGTTAAGCTCAAAGGAACACAACCTGCCAAACTAGAGTACGGCACTGACTGCTGTGCAAGGTCATTAATCTTTAACTTACAAACGTATGTCCCAAAACCATTAAAAAAAAACCTAAATTTTGGGGAGGGGAACATGGCAGCTTTATAACCACAACAGACCTCTGTGTCACCTCTGTACTTTCTGTGTCTTGTTTCCCCACACACTGAAAACAGCAATTGCTCCAATTTGATAGTGTTTTGTGCCCTGACTGTGCATCCCAAGTTAGGGAGCTCCCTACTTCCTGGATTTGCTAACTGGGTGACATTACTTAGAACAGCTAAATCACCTATTTACTTTAAACAAGAGAGGCCATCAGTTTCCTGCAAGGCTAATGAACAGACTCGTGGAGGGGGCTTAAGCCTGCACAACACAAAAAAAAAAAAAAAAAAAAAAAAAAAAAAAAAAAAAAAAAAAAAAAAAGCAAGAGAAAGGAATAGAGAGGGGAATGAGGGGAAAAATATTACTTACTGTATCCCGGAACATCACACTCTGAAGTAATTTTTATCTTCACTAGCCAGTTTTAGTTCACAATCATATCAAAAGCTGAATCTAACTATTTCTATTGCATTCTCCCAGTTTACCAACTTTTCATTTGTTTGTATATTGTATGTTTAAGACTTCTGAAGTAAATTGACTGGCTACAACAAGGGGGAAAAAAAGGGCTTGCTCCAAACACTCATGAAAGAGCATTGTGAGAGTCTGCACCTACTGCCAATTATTCCACTACTTGAAAAGCAAGCAGGATTGAACCTGCACAGACCTGAAAAGCTGTGCGAGAAGGCACTGTTCTGGGGAGAAGAAACCAAACCAAAAGTTCCCATGTCAATCCAACCTCACTGACCTATCTCGGAGACACAGTATACTTCATGTCCACATCTCGGGTAGAAAAAAAGCCCCTGCACCATTACACCATTACTCCAGGAATACCCCAAACAGAAGTATTAAAGAAAAAGCAGGTCTGCATTACTTACAGAGCAAGAAAMGCTAAATGTACCAACAAAAAAATCCACAACACTGAGTTCTGATAGGTTTTGGTGGTTTAAAGTCATAAGGAGAGGGTGTAGGAGACTCAAAGGCCTGGTTAGTATAAAGGCTGCTTTCCTTCTCACCAAAAAGAAAACAGGCACRCAATATGGTACTATACATGCATTCTCATATGGAATGAGAAAAAAAATATGAAAAGAAGCAGGAGAAGAAAGAAAAGTGTTTCAATGTAGCTCACTAAAGGTTGCTGACAAGTCTTTAACAACAGACAAGAGTAAAGTCTTGCAATAGCATGAAAGCTTAGAAAAGGTTTCCCTAGCATCAGCTYAGCTATTGATTAGTAACATGGCTCAGCAAGTGGTTTTACATCTTTACTTCTGTACTTACTCCCACCTATAAAAGCAGATACAATAATCTCTGTACTGGTGAGTAAACGCTAATCACCTCATCCAAAAGCGATCCTTCATTATATATGACTCTAAGTCACAAAGTACAGCTGATTCAATTTGCTTATTTGCACTTACTCATTATACTCCTTATTTGTTCATGGTGTCATTGGAAAATTGAGCTCAACTGTGCATTTACAAAGTCAGTGATGACTACACTAAATACCATGAAGTAACAGGGAGACAGATACAGCACAATAGGGAAGCAAGTAGTCTAGTTAGAAACCTCCCAGTAAGCTTACAGATCCATAAACAGGTTTTCAGCCAGCACGGAGCACTTCTTGAGTGAAAAGAAGGCTTTGGGTCTCTATTCCTCAGTTTCTTCATTCCAGTCACGAAGTAAGGCTGGAAAGGAGTTCATCTAGAAAATGTGCTGCTCACATGCTCCACTGGCTTGCTTTAAAAACAAAGCTTTCTGTTCACACTATTTAAAACCACGTGCAATTCAGCCTTATTCTACTTTCAGTTAACCCCAACACAGATCATATATAGATAATAAATAAATTAGGTTTTAAGAACAGACTATATTCACCTTTTAAGAAGTGTTACAGCATGGATGAGACCTGAAAGTCTCTGTGAGACCAGATTCCCTTCCACCTTTGTATCTATGCAAAAATAATCAGGACATCGAATGCTTCTTTATCCCAGAGCCAAATGAAGATTCTGTGACAGGTGGTAAAACTCCAAAAAGCAGTTTCATGCCAAATTTAATATCGAGGTTTTTTCTGACATATATGTGTAAATATAATAAATATCTACAACTAAAGACAACATGTTCCCCATTTTGTTTAAAGGGTCCTGAGCTACTTCCTTCATAAGAGAGTTCAGTGTTATCCATAGGCACCATATAAAAATATTGTCCAGCAAATACATATGGTTTTATACCGAGTTCAGATGACTTTCCCTTCATGTCCCTTTCTGCCCCCTTTCTCCCTGCATCCTCATGACACAGTCCTGCTCTCTTTTTCTCAGTCCTAGACTACACTGTAAAACTTTTCTCTCCAGTTAGGAACTGAGAAGATGGGGGTGGGTGCACACAAAGGCATACTAACAGAGCAAAGTTGCATACCTTCAAGTTTTTACTGCTGTGGCTCTATTTTCAGATGCTCACTTCATTTTGTCTTTCAGTGTTCACAAAGTTACCRAACATCTGTCTCCTACCTTTTCATCCATCAAAGGTTTGCTAGATATGGACAACATTGCATTCCATATAAAATACCTATTGCAGTTTCCAGAAGAACGGTCTATTAGGAAAAATAGCGCATGTCTATACAGGTACTATTTCTATAAATGCCACGTGTGTGTATTTATATAGGTATGTGTATATATATATTTTTKTATATATGCATAAACACATACAGGAACACATATATCCACACACACACTGCATAAATATTTATCTGTTCCATAAACACAATGTGAACTGGAAAATTACTACTTAATTCTCATTTAATAATGCACTACACCATGAGAAACGAGCTCTTGGGGAAACCTTGCAACAAAAATGCCTTAGAGACTCCTGCAACAGTAAAAGCCTACACAATGCCTGTAATCAAAAACAGCCTAGCTTCTTTGTCTCACTTCACACACACAAAAATTGTTCAAAGCTCACAGCTACAACCACAGTGTGACATGACATTTCACCAGGAAGATAGGACTAGCTACCRCACTGGTGGTAAACTGGCAGTGCAAGACCTTAAGTAACCGCTCTCCTGCTCTTGACCCTTCCTGAGGTGAGCTCTGCTCCTCTCGAACTAGGCCTAGGGCTGTAAGGCTCTGCACATACACTGATGTTGCAGCTTGGACTGTGCTCAGACATGTGCAGCTCTTCTATTCATAAGCCTGAGAGCAATAACACAGAGATTACACAGCTTTCTGAAAACAAAATATCTGCTCTTCAGCATTTAAGAGCTGAAACAACTCTGCAAGCACATTAACTTCACCACCTATAGGCATATTGGACAACTGAATGGATACCTCCCAAATTCACTAGATGAAAATCATCTCTCTGCTCCCCTTCCCTCTTATACCACTTAAAGCACCTTCASAACAAGGCACAACTCATTTTCCCCATCCCTTTTTTCTTTGTCCATCCATAGGTTGCCTTCTTTCCTTGTTTTAACCCTATTCTTTGGTCAAATGGTAAAGGATGTGAGTCAAAGGAGGTAGCTCTTGCACATCTGTTGGCAGCCCCCATGGTTTGCCAAGGGGTACATTTTACTTTCCTGTTTTTCCTGACCGGTTTCTAAAGAATTAAGTGCTTTATACTTACACAATAAGGAATCCAACAGTTCCCAACAGGAACCCAAATACAGTATTCATTTTTAGAGAATAGTCCACCCACAGCCAGCCACATCTGCATTTTCTATTGCTGTATTTTTTTGCATTCTCTGAATGAACACTGCTTCATTCACAATGCTTGCTTACAAAACAATACCACTTCTGGCTCCTGCTGAACACAGTTTGCAGTAGACTGTTCAAGCAGGAAGGTTTGAGGAAACCAAACCATAGGTACAAGCAGCAAAATGCCTTGGGAGAAAGACCACACTCTGGCCTGCAGGTGCTAGGCTATCTTAGACAATAAATATATGGGAAARAAAAATAAGAATTACATCCTTTAAGCACCTTCTAAACATACATGGTACTAGACTAGACAGTAGAAATACCAAGCAGCCAACAGATATTAGCACTACTGTATGTGTGTACTTCTCTCCACCTAACTCCTATTTAGAGGGTATTATAGTTCAGCTAGAGTGTACATTAGGCTAGTTGTACTTAGAGCAGCACCCTAATTCAGTGCCAGGAGTCTTCCAAAAGGAATGTAGGAACAGCTTCCCTGAACTGGTTGAAGCTTTTTGGAAACACAAAGAGTTTCCTCTTGGCTGGACAC